AGTTGGCTGACACTGGTAAGAGTATCAGGATGCTCGGGACCAAGGATCTGCTCACGACCTTGGAGTGCTTGTCGGTGTATAGCCTCTGCCTCCTCATACTTGCCCTGGTTATCAAGTACTGAACCAAGATTGCTAACACTGGTAAGAGTATCAGGATGCTTAGGACCAAGGACCTGCTCATAACCTTGGAGTGCTTGTCGGTGCATGGCCTCTGCCTCCTCATACTTGCCCTGGTTATCAAGCACCCAACCCAGTTGGCTGACACTGGTAAGAGTATCAGGATGCTCGGGACCAAGGATCTGCTCACGACCTTGGAGTGCTTGTCGGTGCATGGCCTCTGCCTCCTCATACTTGCCCTGTCGCGCAAGTACCCAACCCAGTTGGCTGACACTGGTAAGAGTATTAGGATGCTCAGGTGCGCAGGGTCTTTCTAGCATCTCTAGGACGTTTCGAAATACAATCTCTGCCTCGCTATATCTTCCATCACTCTGCAGGCAGTCTCCTATTCTTGCAAGAAAGTCATGGTAGTTGTCCTGGTGTGCCTGGAATTCTGCGCTGTTCGCCAGATACAGTGCATGAGATAGGCATTCCCTCCACTTTTGTCGATTGTCATGGTTGCTATTTGGAAAAATCTTGTCCAACTGGTCGGCTGCTTTTTCTACCCAACTCTCAAGATTCTCTGTTTTTCTAAGCCAGTTTCGAGTGGCAAGATGCACCAGTCGATGAAGACTAAAAATGCTGTCATCAACCTGTGCGCTTACAAAGGAATATGCTTTGAGAAGACCTAATGCTTCCACTTTTCTTTTTGCCGAAGCTGTGGCCGGCAGAATCGACTCTGGTATATCCCGTGGGTTAATACAAGCCATGAACGACAGATAGTCGCTTGCTGTTTGATCCACCCGCTGGATTTGCATGAAGGAGACCAGCCAAGTCGTAGCCACTGGATTCTGGATCTCTGCGTAGCGTCCGTCATCCTTAAACTCCTCGCTAAGCAGTTCTATTGTGCTTGCCTCCTGTTCACCCAGCAATGACATATATCTTGCTAAGGAAATGCCGTTCTGATTGATGTAAGCCGCGGCTTGGCTGATTGCCAAAGGGAGAAAAGCAAGCTGCTCAAGGAGTGCGTCTGCCACGTGATCATCTCGAAGTAGATCTTTCTGTATTAGTAGTTTCCTGAAGATCTCCTTGCCAGTCTTCTGATCCACGTCGGGAACAGAGATCACGTTTGTTGCTGCCAGCTTCAATGCAAGCTGGCGGTTGCGCGAGGTGAAGAGTACATGGCCATTCTCACTCCGAGGGATGATATTCTTGAGTGGTGGTGCCGGGGGTTTGTCCGTAACCCACATATCCATTGCATCTGCATTGTCGAAAATAAGGATCCACTTCTCGTCGGTCTGGCTGAAGAAAGCCTGGAGCCGCTCTTTCACCTCGGCTGGCTCCACATTATGGAGCCCCACCAGTTGCGCAATGCTCATGCAAGCCTGTTCAACAGCCTCGTAGCTGGTGCACGGGATCCAGAAGATCGAACATTCAGGCTCTCTGTCTCGCATACGGTAAGCTAGCTCCAGCGCAATTTGGGTCTTCCCCACCCCCCCCAATCCAGTAATAGCAAGCTTTCTCGGTCCGTCTGGCTTAGAGACTAAATCCTCTATCTTCCTAATCTCGTCCTGGCGGCCCACGAAATGCAAATTTTTCTCAAATGGGATCATTAGGTGCCGATTGTTGCTCGCATCTATCAAGAATATAAGATATTTGACAGGACTAAACTCTTACTAGAGACATTACTGACCTTTATGGTTTGCCGGCATCCAGTACTCCAAGAAAGCCTTTGCCACCGACGCTCCGGTTGCTGCTGCATATGCCTGCCACACCTTGCTCTTGTGGCTGTCGGCATAGTCACATACCCCCTTGATAATAACACATGGAACATTGTCCCATACCCCTGTTCCCTCCATCTCAAACCCAATGACCTTCTCTCTTTTGACAATCTCATCACGATGCTGTCCAGACTTCACCACCGTGTCGGCAGAGGCAACGGGTCCAATATATATGGAGGTCTGGATGGCGTCCGAAATCTCTCGACATCGGACTTGTTGACCTTGGTCGCACTCCAGCTCGTCGCACTCCTTGCCTAATGCCTCTTCGCAAATTTGGTCAGGTACGTCACTCCCAGAACAGGAGCACCCAGCAGGAGAAGCATGGTCAGAATGCTTGTGAGGATAAGAGGCCTGGAAAAGGACATCACGGACCCTGGGATGACACCACTTGGTCCCTGTCTGTTGAAGGGAGTGAAGATACTGTTGTGTCTGATCCTGGAGTTCACTGCGGGCATTCTCGGCGCGAAGGCCATTTAGAAGAGCCCGAATTTCTCGACTAAGCCTACCTAGCGTGTCCTTCAGACCAGTCTTCGGTTGAAACCCACCAGGGTACTGTCTGCCAAAGTCATATTCGATCACCGAGTCACTGATGATCACATCGCCAAGGAATATCTCTTGATATTTGGGTGGCGGTGGGGCGCCTCCACAGATACCAACCACCAAAGCAAGCTTGATGCCTGTGTAGCTGACTAGCAGGCTGGAGGCAACACTGGCTGCACTTCCCTTGCCCATTCCAGGCATATAGCACAGGACCACATCGTGCTTGCTAATCCGTCCATTTACGTATGCATTCGCGTCGCCCCGTTGTTTGCCGTAGTGTTTCCCAAACCGATTGTAGGTTTCATCAAAAAGGGCTTCGACCGCTTCCGCCTCGAGAGGGAGGGCGCAGATAATCGCGATCGCAAAATCAATGCGGCTTTTCGGTCGCATTTCGGCAACGAGCAGCGAAGGTATCAGAGAAGCAGGACAGAGCTTCAAGCAGATTTTGCTCGGGCAAACTCTGCTTAAGATGTCTAGAGCAGGAAGGTAGGTGAGTGGAGCTGAAGTCATAGGAGAGTAAGGCAGTTTTGTGTTCGCAGCCTTGCGCTTGTTCTCCCAACCACACGCCTATGATAGCCGCCCAGAAGAGGGGTAAAGTAGGAAATCAACAGGTCGCAGCTGGCATGCCGGCGTCGTGGCGCAGTCGGTCCGCGATCGTTTTGCGCAGGAGGAGTGTCGTTTTTGGTGGAAACAGACCGGTAATCCGGAAGACTGATGGGTGGCTGACTGCTGGGTTTCAAATTGAGAGCATCCGTAGGCGGTATAAGCGCTAGCCCGCCAGGAGACCCTATCTGTTCTTACCTCAATTGACGCTCTTCCTAACGTGCGTGGGCCATCCAATTTCAGGGCTCCCCAGGTCATCACGGGTCACATACCTCGCCGACCGAGGAAATCCCATTGGGATAGCGCAATGATGACAAGGATTTGGGGAAATTGAAACCACCGTTTCACTTCATTTCATCTGGTGCTTACGCGCAGGGGTGCTGCTAATAATAATCGCCGCATGAGAGCCTTCGATTAAGCGCCGGCAGGGATCAGTCATTCTCGGCGGGTCAGTAGGAGCAATTAGATTCCTTGTTTATGGACCAGGATAATTAACATACTGTCAATGAGAGATTGCCATTTAGGAGTGACTGGGGGCCTATATATAGTAGTTGGTCCTGGGGCATCCCTTCCTCACTGCTTAGCCGGTTTTTCGATTTATCAGGCTTATGGACGGACTTCAAGTCGCTCCCACGCAACAAAAGGCAGTCAACCGAGATGCCGAAGGCTTGCAGCCTATCGTTCCGCCGGGGACGGTGTACTACGGAACTACATACGATCCTGACCCAACGACCGAGCCCCTTAAAGCACCTGCGAGAAAGAAGACTATCTGTGGCTTACAACCGGCGGTGTTCTGGCTGTCGGTGATCATCGCAGCGTTGATTGTTGGAGGAGCCGTGGGGGGAGGAGTCGGTGGTTCGTTGGCCAGCAAGAATCACGACACGAATACTTCACCTCAGTCAACGGGCACCGCGATATCAAGGTATTTATAAGCCCCGGTGTGACCTAGGAAATATAGCAGAGGCTAAGCTGGCGAAGTAGCGCTTCCAGTCCGTCCACTACCCAAGAAAAAACGACCATGTCGGCGACTTCGTCTGCCCCCGCCACCTCCGGCACCAGTGGACTCGCCTCGGATCCCTGCCCGGCCATCAATCAAACCACCATTCGAGCCTCCACTGGATCGCTGTTCTCGGTTCTCTGCAGCGTGGACTGGCCGAACGGCGTCAAGTCGGCCGACGGAAAGGGCAAAGTGCAGGATCTGGATTATCGCACGGAATACTCGCTGGAGGACTGCATTGGCGCCTGCGTGGACTACAACCGAGACCGCACCAAGGAAACATGCAAAGGCGTCACCTATTCCGCCAACTTAACCGCCGCCTTTGACGGGGGCCAAGGAGGGAATTGTTTCTTGAAGGATAGAGTCGGGTCTTATTTCGCGACGTCAGACACCACTATGTGTGCGGGGCTTGTAGGAGGTTAATCGTTTGATGGATTACATGTACAGATATTGCTTTCTCTCCGTTATTGTCAATAATTCCCAAGAACTTTTCAATCATATCCAATTTCACTACTCCGTTCTGTGTTTTCCCTCACACGAAAGGGGAGAGTCTAGATAGACTAGCCGAGATAGGAAGGTATTTATTGCCGTGTTGTTGCCTGACTGCCTGACTGCCTTAGTCCCTGAGGTCCTTGCTGCCTCGGTGCCTCGGTGCTTCAGCATGTCTAGTTGTGTGCCTTGTCTGTGGAATCCAGCGTGTGAATGGTTTCTTCATGGACAGACAATAATGCGTACACATTCACGTACGAAAACTGATTGACTTACTTCTATATGGAACATTCTGGTATATGTGCGAGGGATCGAACCTGTGAAGGTGTCAACTACTGTGTACTTGTCAAACCCTACCGTAGATGAAAAATGTAGAAGACCACGCGGAAAAGGTAAGCCAGGGAACATGGGACAGCCAAGTACAGCATTACTCGACTGGACTAGGCTTCTATAGTCTATTTGCCTAGCGCAGAAGCCCGACCTTGGGACATGGCATCCTGGAAGCGTCTACTGGTCGCTGAATTTCGTCCACGGTAGGTCTGTTCCGAACACTTGTGCAGGAGATTCATGCAATTACAATGCCAATAGGAGTGTCTGGGATCTCAACCACCCACATTCCTTTGAGCTCGGTATCATTTCCCCCGTAAGTTTGTCCTCTTTCTTCCCGGACTCAACGCCCCGTGAGGAACTAGGAATAGGGGGTAAGGGCTGGAGTCTGAGCTTACTATGCGTAGAAAATATTGGTTCTCTGGAAGGTCTCGCTTGTGCTGCAGTGGGTCGACTACTATACGCGAATGAGACATAATGGCTGCATCTTTGCTGGCTTTCGGCACTACTCGGGTTGAGAGCCACCGAGCGCTGAGGAGTATGTCGTTTTAACGGGGAGAAAGAAATGAGCGACTTCTCCTCACAGAGGGGGAGGACATTCACTGGTGAGCCTTTTTCTTAAGTATAATAGTTATTCTTTCCTATCCTCTACCTGTTCTCATTTGACCCATTTGAGTAATTAGTCCACTGCAATGAAGGTCCCATTGACTTGCTTCTTGGCCGTGATTGGCTTCACACCCTCGGCCCTGTCTCACTACAACCTAGAAGCTCTGGTGGTCAACGGGGTCATCACGCAGCCGTATGAGTACGTCCGTCGCACTACGAACGGATAGAGTCCCATCGGCGAAGTGACTTCCCCTGACATGATTTGTAACGAAGGGGGTATAAACGATGACACAATGGCGGCAACTAAGACCTATATCGTGTCGCCTGGTGACCAGATCGGGTTCACTGTCAATATTGAAATTGGTCACCCGGGCCCTTTAGCCGTCAATCTCAGTCGAGCCCCCGACGGCGTGGCCGCCAATGCCTATAAGGGAGAAGGAGACTGGTTCAAAGCTTACGCCATGACGTACACCCATATTGACCAGTAAAATATCCAGTGGGGCAATTTTCACGATGGTCAACCAATTCGCAATTTTACCTTCCAGCTCCCCCAGGATCTGCCCCGCGGCGAACACCTGTAGCCAGGCCCGGTTCTATATTGGATGTGCGCAGCTCAAGGTCACTGGACATGGCGATGGAGTCCCCAGTCCCACAGTGAAAATCCCTGGTGTTTACGATGGCACGAGCCGGGTCTTCTGGTGAAGATTGACAACCCAGTTCCCACCAGCTACGAGGCACCGGGGCCAGTGACCTGGCCTAATGGATGCGAGGACGGGACGCCCAATCTGATTGGAGAGGTCAGTGATGGTGACTGCCGGGCTGAGTAGGGCGGAAATGAAGGAGTCTTACAAGCGAAGGGATTGGCCTGTTACTTTCCGGGTATTGCACTGTTATTAGAGCGGAGATATTGAGTTACAGGTGTTTACAGGTGTTCCTTTGTCAGCCTAGATTATTTGCAATCCCCCCTACAGCTAACTAAAGGCCACTGAGATCTTGCTTTCTATGTGGCCAATAAAGTATGACCAAAGCTGCTAAGGAAGACGATAGATCAGCAAAGTTATCTCGATCATGAAGCGCAGGAAAGCATCAAATACACACAGAATCCAGTGATGGTTCCAGAGCAAGAGTGTGCTGAATACATTCGAAAGAACTGTTGATTGACTAGTAAAGTGAAATGTCAGGTTTTCAAAGAACGTTTATCATCCGCATCGCAAGTCTCAAAGCGTTGAGGTGAGTGCAGTCCATGAGCACGGCCAGCAGATAGCGAGGAAAATAACTGTGCGGTGACCACGAGGCCAGCACGACCCTCTTCCACCATCCATATATTGACCATTCGGCGATAGTGCCGAGGAGGGAGCGAACCGAAAGACCACCGAATCGGCATTCTATCGTAAGACAGAGTTCAACTTTGGGGGATTGGGGGGGGATTGATCGGGGCTGAATAGAAGTATTTTCTTTGTGCGGCAATTTGTGAGAAAGCAATGCTACACGATTTCGCTGATTCACGTTACTCGACTCGTCGTGTGGTGGCCGTCCTGTAAGTTCTGGACAAGTCCGATGACCGCGTCCGTCCGCATCTTGTTAATGATATGAAAATTATTTCGAAATAGCGAATCCTGTATATGGTATAATTTCCAACACACGTCAGGAGAGAGGGTCACCGTAGAAATGATTGCTGAGCGGTCTGGGAGATTGGAAAGAAGGAATCGGTCTGGCGGCACGATGCGAACACTTTGTGAGCGGTTGGTCGATCAAAGATCGAGAATTGTAAATGTTCTCTTCTCAAGCATCTGTCGTGGGGTAGGCAAAGAAGAAGAGGGAATTCGTGAGGTAACGCCATGACACCCGCTAGAAAATCAACAAGACTATGAGGTCAATATTTCTGGATAACACTGGCGGGGATGCACGAGGCTACTCTGGAACCTACCGTAACTAGCGAGCAGCCAGCTCAGGGACGTAGGCCCAGAATGCATTCCATGTAAGATTACATGACCGGTACCGCCCGAGTCTTCAGTCAGAAGAGGGCCATTTTATGAGGGAAAGTAGAACGGAGGGCTTCAATGGACAGCTACTGCTATCGGGATGACTGGCGGCGGCGGCGACCCTTTGACCTCCTTGCACCGCATACTGACCAGTCTTCGTCGCACTTAACTGAGTAGGTAGATATAGGTTTCAGCTGACAGGGAGCCACTTGAATACTAGCTCGCGGAGTCCTGAACACCCCGAAGAAAGGTACCACGCTGGAGATGGTCAGGAGAGTAAGCATGGTGCAGAAAAGATTCGGGCCCACCTTGGCGCCATGTTGGGGCTGAAGTTTCACAGGTGGATTTTTCTTTTTTGGGAGGTAGCATCTAGATCCCAGGCAGTTCTTGTGGTAGACCTCCCAAGGATTTTAGTTACAATTAGCGCCGGTTTAGGGCAAGCAATGTCGTAGTCGGTATGTGGACATGGCATGTCTGGCATGCCCGATCGAAATCTGCCTGTTTTTCCGTGGCGAACGTCCACATACTCCGACACTGTGCATTGTGGCTTTGAAGCACAGAATGAATGGATGAGAGCCCTCGATAGTTCGGATATCACTACCAAATCACGACTAAAGACCTAATTACTAGCTGGCCTAAAATCCCCCCCCTTCCCTGCAGTCCACCTTTCCCCGACACCAGCATAAGGTGTACTGCGTATACCAGAGCAAATTCACTTCACCCGGGACTTCCGATTCTCCTCAAACTCAAATTTGCTGGACAATGCCTGATCCTTTTCCACGGCCGCGAGTGCGCCCTCGGGGTCTTCCATAGCGTGCGGAACCAGCTGATCGCCAAAGAGCTTGTCCATCTGCTCAAGCGAACGACCTTTAGTTTCGGGGTAAAAGAAGTGGTAGCAAGTAAGAGCGATGACGTTCAGGGCAAAAAAGAGATAAAAATAGCGAAAACCGACGGTATCAAGCGCATAGGGAGAAAACTGGGCAAAGACCAGGTTGACCGTCCAGTTCGTAAACGTGGTCAGGGAGTTACCTAGGGCTCGCACCTCCACCGGGAAAATCTCCGCGGGATAAACCCAGGAGATGATGCCAGTAGGCGTATAGAAGAGGCTGAAGACAAAGTTCATGGCTACCATGGACCGCAGCTGGTGCGCGTTCTCGGGGCTCATGTATTGGGCCTGCACTGCGTTCACAAGCAACGCCGCTGCACACCCCGCGGCGCCCACGATGAGCGGCTTAATACGTCCAATGCGATCGAGCAGGAATAGTCCAATTGTGCAGTACACGATAGAAAGAGCACCGCTAATTCCCACAATCATAAGTGAGGTGTGGTTATCAATTCCCAAGATCTCGTAGATGCGGGGACCGTAGCTACAAACTCGTTAATATCATCCTAAAGCCAGCGCTCAGGACAGGACAGGTGAGAAAGTCTTACTAGTTAATTACGTTGATGCCAGATAGGGGCCCAAATGCCTGCACGCCGCAGCCGAGGATGAGTCGGCGACGCCAGGAGGGCTTCGTGATGATAGATCGCCAGGTGATATCTCCAAGCGCACGGTCAGCCAGGATGACGTCCCGGATTTCGCGGAACTCCAGGTCAATTCTTTCAGGATCAAGACCGCTGCGCAGGCTCTCGAGAATCTTGCGAGCCTCTTCGTGACGGTCTTGTTCCATTAGCCAGCGAGGCGACTCGTGCAGGAACCAAATGCCGCTGATGAGGATTAGGCCGGGAATATTCTGCACGGCGAGAGGGAAGCGCCCTGTTCCAGAGAAGAAGTTAGTTCGTTGCAGTGCAACGCTCGGGCTGCCTGACCGGCAAGGAAGCTTTGAACATACAGGAAAACTCGTTTGTGACAAAGGAGCAACCATATCCCAGCCATTGGGCCACCAAGAACCCCCAGCTCAACATCCACTGCAACAAACCGGCCAGAGTGGCGCGAAATTGGGGCTCGGAGAGTTCAGAGGCGTACATGGGGATCGTCGCAGTTAACATGCCAACCGCCAGGCCCGCGATAAAGCGGCCCACGATTAACATGGCCATGTTGACTGCGCCGGCCTGCAAAGCACATCCTAGACAAGAGATAATTGCGCCCACTAGGATGGTGTATTTTCGCCCAAGTTTATCCGCAAAGAGTATGTTGACCATCGTACCCGCAATGGCACCCCCCTGAAAGGACGACACGACCCCTCCAGTTACCGTCGAGCTGGGGTCGCCGAAGTATTCCTTAAAAGTGTCTAAGGAGATCGTCGAGGTGATGATTCCACTGTCATATCCGAAAAGAAAGCCTGGAAGCCGCATATAAATCAGTCAGGATAAAGGAAATTCACGCATCAGTCCACATGGAGTTTACCTCCGACTGCCAGAAAAAGGGCGGAGAAAATAGTCTGTTTCCGTCCCATCTTGGCCACTTGTTCAGGCCTATCCGTCGTAAAAATGGGTTCCGTAGAAACCGAGAGCCGCGTGCAATAGCCAAAGAGGATATTTCAATGGTGTGCTCGGATAGTCGCGAGTTTGTTAACAAGGCTCACCCCTTGTTTAAGAGGAACCTCGAGGCACCGATCACGAACCCCGGCCGGGGTAAATCAACAATGCGGGGAAAGGGTACTGGTAGTGTCGTTCGTACGGGGGATATTATACCGAGCTGACGCTGGGCAACGCATGAATAATGGATGAACGAAGTCCTCTCAGTGGGTGGAAATCACCCCAAGGGATTGCAATAGCCCGAGTTAGGGCAGCCGAGAGGAGAGGCATGCTAGAACATCAGGTGAAATGCGCTTCGTATCTGCACCTGACACGTAGCGGGTCCAGCCTAGCGCGAGTCAGTACCGACTGAGAAAGAGATTTTTGGCCTAAAGAGAGGGATTCGATAGTCGAACACTAACGCATCCCTCGTCACTATGAGGAGGACTTGGCAATGAGGCACACCCGGGGCCATGGCTCTTGGAAACCTATAGCAGGTGTCCAGTTGCTATGCTAGGCTGCGAGGTGACACTCAAGCCATTCTGGCATCACCGGGGCAGACCCGGCCTTCATGCCCAATCAGACCATGTTCGTCTCCGGTGACCAGAATATCTCAAGGATTACAGCGTCTTTGCCACTGACTCGGTGTAGCATGAGTCCGAAGGAGGGCCTTCGAGCTAGGTGGGAGCGAGACGCATAGACTGTATGTGTTATTTGAGCTCGAGACACGTCGTGGCGCTGATCTAGAGGCAATTTGTTCAAGTCGCCTGATTCCAGCTATTGTGCCAAAATGAAAGTGACTGACTGCGGTATCCACGGGTTTCAAGAGGTGATTGGTATTGACACGGATGATATCCGCTTCTACTGGTCCCTCGTCTCGAATGATGGGAATCTTCGACAGGTTGCGTACCGTGTGATTTTATGGATCGCTGCTGGTCCCGTTGCCTCGGCCACCAATTCTGTCTGCTGGGACTCGGGGCGTGTGCAAAGTGATGCTCAGCGTAACGTCGTCTACACCCCTATCGCCTCCTTCCAGTCCACCACTTTTCACTACTGGCAAGTTACGGTGTGGGACCAAAATGCCGTTCAGTACCAGAGCTCAGTCAATGAGTTCTACACCTCTTATCCGTGATGCTCTGGCTTACTGCCTCCGTATAGCATAAATCAAACCTACGTGAGCCGCCCCTCCAACACTATGTCGTATTTTTCTCGCGCTAATCCGCAGAACGTGTCTTAATAATAGATGCCCCATAGCAGTTTGATCTCTCGAACCTGGCTTGAAGGCGAAGCGAATCGGTTGAAGGCGGTTTGGCTAGGTGACGGCGGTGACAAACCCCTATACTTGCGGAAGCCCATCTGTCCCACGCAGCAGCCACAGCGTGTAGTGATATTGGCATCGGGACTGGGCCATTTTGACCTCACGCTCAATGGGCAGCCGGCGTCGAAACATGTGCTCGACCCCGGATAGACTAACTACCACCGGACTGTGCAGTTCGTAGGATACGATGCGACCGCACTTTGGCAGGCTGGGGAGAACGTCATCGGCGCCCACGTTGGCAATGGTTTCTATGCAGGAGACCAGGGCAGCCGGCTCTTCTGGCCTACATACGAAGATAACACCTACGTCCGCTATGGTAACGAGTTATACTTCTTCGCCGAAATTCATCTGCATTACCCTGACGGGTCCCACGACACGATCATCACCGATCCCTCGTGGGAAGTGCGCAAAAGTGCCACCAGCCTGGCCAATATCTACGCCTCCGAGGACTTTGATCGGCGTCAATACCCAGGGGGGTGGGACTCTCCGTGATACGACGAGAGCGTCGACTCCTGGGCCGAGGCAAAACCTTTAATGGGACCTCGAGGCAAGTTGCGGTACCAAAGCCAGCCCCCCGTGGTCTTGCACAATACTTTTCAACCGGTCCGGCATCAAGTCACTCGACCCGGCATCACGGTCTTCGACCTGGGTCAGAACAGTAGCATTATGGTCCATCTGGAAGTCAGTGGGGTGTCAGAGTCCGAAATCTTTGTGCGCTATTCCGAGGAAGTAGGACCAGAGGGAGAGGTGTACATGGCAGACCCTCTGTTCAAAAAATTCGAGTACGGGGTCTACTCCAAGATAACTCTCGGCGGCGACCGGGAATCATAGGCACCGGACTTCAGCTTCACGAGCGCTCGATACATCCAGATCGAAGGGGCCTCTCTGGATGCTGACGATCAAAATCTACCCTACCATTCACGCTGTCAGTGCGCGACATGTCTCATCTGCGGCTCGATAACTCGGATACCTGACCACCGACAAAGAGGATGTGAATGCCCTCATCAACGCCTGCTACTGGACCTTCTCCAGTAACATATTCAGCTACCACACCGACTGCCCCCAAATTGAGAAGTTTGGCTGGCTAGATGTGACTTCGCTTTTAGCCCCGGTTACTCAGCACGTGCGAGACATGGAGGCCGTCTACTCGAAGATCCTCGACGATATCATTGACACGCAGGAGTCCAACGGGTTGGTTCCCACTATGGCGCCCGAGACTTTTTATATGTGTGGTCCTTCACATGACACCATCACCTGGGGATGCGCGATTTGTTTTCTACCTCAGCTACTCAAGCAGTACTACGGATCTACCCATGTATTCAAAAAGATCTACGAGCCAGGTGCCCGCTATATGGACTATATGCGCACCAAGGAGTGTCACGGCGGGTTGATCGAGCACGGGCTAGGAGACTGGGGGTACGAAATTGCCTACGGCAATCACCAGGCGAACATCGAGACAGCGGTTTATTACCGCTGCCTGCAAAATATGGCCCTGATGGCGCGGGACCTGGATTTGATTGAGGATGCGGCGCGATATGAGGCCTGGGCGGCGCGCATCTTCGACGTGTACAACCGCCACCTGCTGGTCCCCAACGTACATCGTGACGACGTGATCAGTGCCTTTGTCGCCACGGTCGAGGAGTCGGGACCGCGAGGCTATCGACAATTCTGGCACGCTTTCCTCTGCTTCAAGTACTCATCCGCATTAGATCTCAACACCCATTCAGCCTCGACCATTTGCGGACCACGTCGGTCAAATTCGCCAGTACCAGTGCCCATTCGTAGTTACCGAGGCCCCAAACCAACAAGTGCTAATGCACCAAGTCGAAACTACCTCTCCAAACCGATGGCAGAGGCCTACGGATGTCGTGTTCGCGCAGTTGAAGTCGAGAGTCGTTGTGGAACTGAGACTTGGCAAGATCAACGCTGTAGAGATACAGACTAGTTGTATCAGTGCCCACCAGATCTAGCAGCCATTTCCCTCGGTTCCGCTAAACTCGTCTCGATCAGAGGCGTCCATGTGGCTTGTTTTCGCCTCTTTATTAGAGGGCTATTTGATTCTGGGCCCTACCAACAAGGGGTTCCTCTAGGAATGTTGACAAGGTCTATGCACATGTGAACGTCGTCGCCGAACGGGCCAAATGGCCTTAAGGCCCGAGGGGATAGTGTCAAACTAGGTACTGGAAACCATGTTTTTCGAGACATTCATATTTTGAGGCCGAAATGTGCGAATCTTGACGTCCTGCAAGGTAAGCATTAAACTGCTGGGATTTCGGTGGGGTTCTGATCTCCGCCTATGGTGCAGCGCGTCTTGATATCCTGACAATCTCAATGGTTGAGGAATGCTCTGCCCAGCCGCCGATCACGAGGTGTCTGTTGCGGGGTTCTGCAGCGATGGACAATAGTACGGCGCATGAGTCTCACTGACTTTAAATGGGCCTTCGCTGTTTATCCTCCTGTTCAAAACTTTCCTCAATCCATTTGCTTCCACGACCATGACGGACAAACTCAAACTCGCGCTCTTGTTTTTCGGACTGATCATTGCGCGCCTCTTAAGAAATAGATTGCGGTTGTCAGGCATCCCTGGGCCATGGCTGGCTGGCTATACGCGACTCTGGAAGCTGCATAATGTGTGGCAAGGGCAGCATCATCAAACGGCTCTGGAATTGCACCGACGATACGGTCCATTGGTGCGAATTGGCCCTGACCACATTTCGGTCAGTGATCCGACGGCGATTTCCATTATCTACGGCATCAATAAGAACTTCACCAAGGTAGGACTGCCCCTTGAACACTCGGGTGCGACGATAGCTTATCAGGACAGACGGCCTTCTATCCCATCCAATGCATCTCGTGGAACAAAAGACCGCAGATGAATCTCTTCTCTACGCGGGACGAGCGCTTTCATCGCGATCAGAAACGTCCCATCGCTAGCGCATTTAGTATGACTGCAATGCTAGAAATTGAGCCGGCCGTGGATTCGTGCACCGACATCTTCCTGACCCAGATCCGCAAGACGATTGACGCCCAGGAACCGATCGATTTAGCTACCTGGCTGCAGTACTATGCTTTTGACGTCGTAGGCGAGATGTGTTTCGCACAAAAGTTCGGATTTCTCCAGCAGGGACGCGACGTGGACGGCATGATCAAGGCCATTCGCGGCATGATCCAGTATGCCGCCGTGTGTGGCCAAATCCCAGAGGCTCATCAGGTCCTGTTGGGGAATTCTCTGTTTCCTCTTGTGATGCCTCAAATGGAGCTGTGGAACAAGGTGGTGATGTTTACCCTGAAGGCCATCAACAGCCGAGGATCGTTGCAGCGCGATGGAGAGATGGAGAAGACCGCCACAGAGGGAGGTAAAGACATGATGTCTCGCTGGATGGCGATGCATGAGGAGGATCCCACGAAGCTGTCGACTAGGGATTTGATCGTGCATCTGTCAACCAACGTCTTCGCAGGATCCGACACGACCGCCATCGCCCTGCGAGCCATTCTATACTACCTCATACGTCATCCTCCCGCCATGAAAAAGACGCAGACAGAGATTGACCGAGCAGATCGAGCCGGCCAACTTGGCAATTTCATCTCCTACCAGGAATCTGTCCACCATCTACCATACTTTGGGGCCGTCATGAAGGAGGCGATGCGACTGCATCCATCTATCGGCATGACGCTGGAGCGCCGCGTGCCCGATCAAGGGGTTACTCTGGCGGGCACGTATATCCCCGGAGGTACCACCGTAGGAGTCAATCCTTGGGTTGTGCATCGCGACCCGGACGCTTTTCCCGAACCCGATGTCTTTCGTCCCGAACGATGGCTGGAAAGCTCGCCCGCGCAACTGCAAAATATGGACAAGGCCTTTTTCAATTTCGGAGCCGGCTCGCGCTCCTGCGTGGGAAAGGCGATTTCTTTGATGGAGATGCAGAAAGTCGTGCCCCAGCTGCTGCGATCGTTTGATATTCAGTTGCATGAAGACAAGCCGTGGAAAGTACGAAATGCCTGGTTCATGCAACAGGAGGAGTTCATCTGCGACATAGTTCCTAGGGAGCAGTATAAATAACAGCACGCTTATCCTTTGTGCTTTTTTCCTCTACCTACAGAAGAGGATCTTGTCGTCTATAAGTCCAATGTCATATTCCATGATCAACTCGGGAAATTCCACTGGGATGTCCTTGAACTTACTCCATGAATGAAGCGGAAAACTCCAAGATATCAGCCATGAAGATAAAGGAGCCTGCCTACCTTGACCCCTAGTTAGTTGATCATCTTGGTTTCTTCATCTTAATCAATTCCATCGTTCTTGACCACTTCGTCAACCTACCCCTGGCATTCAAAAATTCTACACCATTCTATGTCCACCAATTTTCTAAGTCAAGATGTTTCGTCACTGGACCTCTATTATCAGCCTGATACTGCTGTTTTCCACCTTTCTTGTGAATGCCGGTCATCCTCTCTGGCAGTTCTCAACTAAAATTAAGCGTGCTATTCCGTTTGATCTGAGCTCGCCAACTACTACAACCTGGCCTGGTGGTATAGTGTTTTACTGCTGGGATAGTCAAGCCACGCGGAGGGTATTCAGTGCTGATTTACGCCATGCCATCAACTTATGGTATGTGGCTGGGTTGCCCGAACCTCGTTTTAGGTTCTTCGAGCTTTCTTATGAGGACTGTATGAGAGATCGCGTCAATTCGCTAGTTATCCACGGGGTCCCTGGGCCTTACGAGTTCTCGTCAACTATCGGTAAATATGTTGGTCCTATCAGTCAGTTACTTCCAGGGCCTCTTGCCTTTTTCCCTGATGAACGTGAACCTGCTGGTACAGGAGTGGCAGCAAATACCATTCCAGAGAGAATCGCCCATATAATCGGACATATCTTTGGCTTATTCCATGAACATCAAGACCTCTATTTTTGGCAATTACGCGCTCCGGTGTTTGAGATGATTGCCCACAGATCGAAGGATTTGGTGAGCAAAGCCAGGGTAAAACTGTTGATGAACTTTATGCTCCGGATGGGGTCTGTGTTAATCGACGCGCCGCCCTAGATCACGGGTGGAATATCACTGCCCTATTTTTCACAATGGAAGAGCTCAATTATCTCCCTCATAATCCTCATGAGTCGCCAGAAAATGAAATAGACTGGGACTCGCTTATGCTCTACCACAGTAATGTGGCCACTAAACGGAGCGCAACGACGATTCGTCCCACTATACGCAAATTCAAAGGTAGAGATTTCAAAATCAGGATTAAGCGCTCTCCTAGTCCAAGAGATGTTCGAGCATTGATTGGCCTCTACGACGCCTCAGAGCAGCGAACACTTCCGCGTCTTTATCACGACCCGCGCAGCGAATATCATACCGCATTCCAGAATCTGCAGAATTTTCAAGCATGCGATTGGCCTCCGCAGGGAGGTCCCAGTGGTGGTGGGCCCAATGGTGGCTGAGCACTTCTAGATAGTTATCTTACTCCGTTTAGGTCTTGACATTGTCACAGTCTATTCGGACACTTTATCTTCACACATACCACACGGTTATTTAGATGCCAATAATTGAACGCTGGTCGTGACTAGGAAGCCCGAGACTATCTCCTACATTGACAAAGGTTTTCCCGGTTCAACCAGCCGGAAAAATCCCTTATCTTCGATTAGAGGAAGTATAAAAACAGTCAATCTTCCTGATAATTGCCTCCCGCAGCAATCAACAACACGTGGAGCACTCGCTTTAAAAATGGCGTTCTTCTCGAATTTGTGGCGCCGGATTGGGTCGCAGCTTGTAGCGATTAATATTGGCGGAGGCCTATTTCCTAGAGAGGTTGACATGTATTTGTACGCCTTGCGTCGCATGCAACAGATGCAGTGCCACCTGCTGCCACCCGCCCACGTACCTCCGCCCGGTTGGATTGTAATCAGGGTAGATGTCGATGCTTCCCGGATATCGAGCTCTTATTCATCAAGTCTCAAGGAACTATGCTTTGATCATGCATTCAAGATTCTGATGGCCATTGTGGACCCGAGGTATCGTCCCGGCCCTGCTGGCGTGGTCAATGGCCATCCCACCTTCCACGCGGATGGGACCCGAGTGAGCGAAGGGGACTGGATAACTTGGGGGCTTGACATCGAGGCTGGTCAGGCCGGGGTTGGCAGTATCAGCACCTTTCTCGCACTCCCAGGAGAACCCCCAGAGATGGTCCGAGGCTTTACCAAAAGACGCAAGCTCTCATATGAGCCCACGCGCTGAGCGGCATGAAATGACAGCCAGAAATAAAAATAAGCCGAAATGCAACAAGGATGAAACTTCAACAGTGTCACCGCGTAGAGTGCTTGAATGATGAAGGTGGATTTCCCGTGTGCACTAGGCCACATGAGGACTAGGCAGAGGCCACAAGGAGATAAACATAAACACTCAATCATTGAATATTCCAGAGAGTTGTCTACGCATTATATTGATAAATCTGGATCAGGACTTGAATGTATCCCTGACCGACCCTAAATCTCAGAGAGAACAACGACTGCGAAAAATTATGCCTCTTTCATGGGGCATAGGTATTCCACCAGGTCGGCGGCATGTCCCGAGTGGCTCTTTGACGAGGGTTTGATTGTGGTCTCAACGAAAGAAACAGTATAAAATCTCACCGAGCGACGTCCAGTATTCCATTTGCATGCCTCCTTTCTACCTCGCCCGGGAGAACATTCTCGATTTTTTAATTCCAGTCCAACATGCGCCACTCGCCCAACATCCAGTGGGTATCCATTCACGCGGGCCCTGGGCCCTTTGAAAGTGGGTGCAAACGATACGAAGCCGCTTATGAGAACTGCAGTAGCACCCGGTTGGAGGACAAAGACCACTCTGCTGCCGAGTCCGAGCGATTGTTCTTTCAGTTGCATTTCCGAAACCAACCGATGTTGAGGCTTGAGACCTGCAAGATGTACATGGAGATGATCTTGAAAATGATCTTCGATCCTTCCGAGCGACCAGGCCCACTAGCATTCATCAACGGTCATCCAACGTTCAATGACGATGGCACCCGCACGCGAACTGGAGAAAAATTGAACATCTCGTTTGACTAGAGGTGGTAACTCTCTCTTGACGATGCAAAGCTTGCCACCATGGTCACCAGAGGTGAGTGCCAATTCTCAATTTGCTATTACTTTATATCTTGTTGCAATAAATTCCTTGCGCATTGAGCGCGAAAAAAATTTATTGTATATAACGACTTTCAAACAATGGCGTAAAATGCTCTGCGTGGACAGGCAACCTCCCGATATCTTAATGACAGATGTCTGGAGTAGACAAGCAATAATATATGGAGAAATATTCAGGTATCGATATGAGTATTATGTTGACGATATGACTTCTAACTAGACCAAAAAGCCAGGCTGAAAGACGGTCAGTCATGGTAGTGACCTGGTATGTCAACAATTTATATTTTCAGCCGAACACCACAGTGATCAGCTCGACTCTTTAGCAAACTGATATTTCGAGAGGAAGGTAATTAAATAGAATTCTACTCATGAGATCTTTTAAACTGTTTCGTGAATTATCAAATATCGAACTACTCATTGAGCTATTAGAGCATATTACGTCCGTACAGCAGGGGCGGCGGGAAAGAAAGAAAGAAAGAGAGAGAGAGAAGGAAAAAAAAAAAAAAAAAAAAGCCCCGTCGGGCGACCGGAAAATGCCAAGAGTATCTTCGGGATTCTCGAACGCTTGACATATTACGGCCTCAGGCACTCAAACAACCCCGGGATCGGCAAGACGCCAGGGCAAAATCAAATATGCCAGGACTCGACTACGGCACGGGCACAATAAATACAGTCATGAAAAGTCTATCCTTGCATGTATATATATTCTGGTAGTAAGATATGTCCAGATCTATCCGGCAGATTGATACCAAAGCGCTCCTCTATCAAATATGGCATTGATTCTATGTACAAAGGTCCCCGGACACAGTCCTGGGGGAGAAATTTTCGGTTCCAGCGGGTTCACGTCGAGTCTCAGACCGCGGAGTTGTCACCGCAGGAAAAGGATCCCCGGATCTGGCTCGAGTCGTTCGCGAAGATGTCCATGAGCTCGGTGATCGAGGACCACAGACCGCCGGCATTCATGAACAGCGACTGAATGATCAGCAGCGAATTCAGAATCAAGAGCAGGATCTTCTTCCAATCGCTGAACAAGCAGTCCCAGTTCAGGTGGAACCAGAAGATGGCGCTCAGCCCAAAGGTGAACCAGGCGATGGTGGTCGCGGACGAGATGGACAGGATGGAGTCGAACACGGGGATGGCGTTGGAGATGACCCAGACGACGAGCCAGTACAGGATGCCACAGCCGACCCAGGTGGACCAGGACTTGACACTGCGATCGGTCACCTGGTGGGTGGCGTTCATCCAGCGCATGACGACGACGTAGATGTACTTGATGCCGGTCTGGCCAAATGCCATGGCAGTGGAAAAGACGGCGGGTAGCACGATGCCGTAGGCGACTTTGGCGGGGATGCGCGGGGCCGAGCCGAGGGCGGGCGAGGTGGTGTAGTCGCCGGCCAGGCAGAAGATGGCGATGGCGACAATGGTGTAAATGGTGATGGAGAAAACCTCGAGACAGGCCAGGGCCACGGGGAAGTCCCGCGACGGGTTGCGCATCTCGGCCATGTAGCCGACGAAACTGATGTTACCGGCGTAGGCGTAACAGATCTTCAGGCAGGCGTTCAGCCCCTCGCGAAAGGTGGGCCGGCCGACGACCTGGATATTGTTCTCCCAGCCCGGCGGTGCGGCAGCGGGATTAGCCACGCCCAGACTGATCATGACGATCAGAGCGGCGGCGAGGATACTGATGGTGGAAGGGATGCCACTCTGCGACACGAACTTGACGGTGCGCGGCAGGCAGAGGATCCAGCAGGCCACGACGGCGATGGTCAGGAAGCCCACCGTGCAGAAGGCGTGGTTGCTGAGGGTGTTGAACGAGACGGACAGCGTCACGCTGGCCGAGGCGCACGTCATCATGACCTTGATCAAGAGACCGATGCCGGCCACGATCTCGAGGATGGGGCCGCCGACGATGCCACACATGTCGACCACGTTGACGACCTGGGGGTAGCGGCGATAGAACTGCAGCAGCACGAAGGCCGTGTAGGCGGAGAGGGAGCCCAGGCCGATGATGGCGATGACGCCCGGCACGACGCCCAGGGTCTTCAGACAGGACGGCAGGGACAGCACGCCGAGGCCGACCTGGTTGGTGACCAGGGCAAAGACGGTATCCCAGCGGCCCAGGGTGCGGTAGTCCTTGCCACCCTGGCTGAAGATGTTCTGCGGCGGCTGGTCGTCATGCTTCTCGTCGCTGAACACCGTCGCGTCGTCCTGCTCTACATCGATGGGGTCCCGAACCGGGTCATGCTGGGGTTGGGAGGGCGACATGTAGGAGGCAAAGCAGGCTCAACGACGAGTCGGGGCAGATGGTGAACGAAATGGCAGGACGAAGAAGAGCAGACAATTTTTCTCGCGGACCTTAAATATTATACTAGCTGAATGGAGTGACCGAGTGGGTGGGGGGCGTCCATTGATACACACACGAGTTTTGTATGGGCAAAATCTGCGTCGTTACCTAATGGATATGTGCCCCCGTGGGCCTGGGATGGGTCCTCCCCGACGGCTTAATGTGATGATAGGCCCGCGGCCTGCGCGTCTTGGAGCAGGCAATTCGCCCGAATCCTTCCAATGGGGAAATTCGTTCAGCTTCCGTTTCCAACTGTTCCAACCGCAGGAACGATATTCCTCATCTGCGGGGTGCGTGTGCGGGGGGGACGAAAGACAGGAAACAGTCGGTTAGGTTTCTGTTTCTCGGGTATCCAAGCTTTTTTTTTTCCTGCCCGGCCAGTGCTTGGCGTGGAGCGTGCCCCCAGGGCCATGCGGCGGACTGTCCCTCCCCCGGGATACGTTCGGAGGGTCGATTCTCGGCCCCTGGACGGTCGTCGGAGGGTCTGATATGTTCGGCCGGCGTCGCAACAGAGGGAGGTATAGCAGCCGCCCTGCTGATAGGCTCTGCCCCTGGGCGAAGGAAGACGAGGCGCGACTTACCGCTTCGGGTGTCGCGCGGATGAGTCAGCCAGGCGCTTACTGCATGCGGGAATTGCCGGGAGAAATCCCCAGCCCAGGACTATCGGAAGAGAACGAGAAGGCGTGTCTCACCCACTGGCTAGCTGTAGGTTTCTACCCCAAGTGCCGCCCCGATTAATCTGGGGTTGGAGACGATGGCCCCGGACTGCATGGCTGGCCCACCCCCGGCCGCATTCACATTGGTAGATCGCATCGACGAGACGATCGTGTTGGTGACTAGGCGTCGAGGAGTCCAAGAGACTGGAGCAGGAAGTCACCGTCTCCGACTCCCTCCGTAGCCAGTTCATACATCATTTTCGGACGGCGATCTCGATGGAAAATCCCTCATACGGAGAAGGTCCTCGCCCTCCTGTGCTGCCAAGGTCCTGACTCGCCGTGGGATCGGAGCAGCCGGGGATGTCTGATATAATGAGTAGGTTCTTTGTCGTCATGAATGGTTGGTGGGGATGCCGAAGATCTGAATGCAAGGAAGACTCTCTGTGATAATGACACTGAAAGGATTATTCAATCCGGGGAGACGGTCACCACGGCGTGATCGAGGGAGCAGCCGGAGAAGAGAAGAGGCAGCAAAGGCCGAGATGCTTGGCATAACATGCCTCAGGCAGACAGGACGTTCCCGGAAGGTGCGCTGAGTCAGCGCCAAGGAAAAATCTGATTTCCGACGCTCCAAATCAGAATCAATAATTACTGATGCAGATGCACAGGATGATCCAGATGGGAGGTGACTTCATCTCGGTGGGCGGCCGTGCTGATCCCTATCGACATGACTAATGGGAATGCCCTCACCCCAATTTCAAGGAGAAAAGAGAAAAGGAATACGAAAAAAACAAAGGAAAGCCAATTTCCAATATGATCTCAACGCCCTCTGGTTGGTCAAGTGACCCGCCAGGCCACATCTGTTGCTAAATGTCTACTGTGTACAGAGGTACCCCGTACATCAATGTTAGCCCCCAAATCCGTACGCCTCCCACTTCTGATTGATCTTCTTCTGCACTTCCGCCGGGAATGACCCTCGGAACGATCCTTCGTTCCAATGCACAATGTCGTCCTCAAACTCGCAGGGAAACATACAACATCGCACCACCTTCCGATGATACCCCGTGGTCGGCTGAACGCCGTGAGTGACGTAGGGAATCAGGGGGATATTGCCGTACTCGTGGAAGAAGAACTCGTTGACCTCCGGCTGGCAGCGAGTCGCCTCCGCCCAGATCACCTCGTTCAGGTTCGTGGGATCCACGTCGTCGCCGACCACGTACAGCTTCGGGATGTACCAGCCGGGCTTCGAGCCGAAGACCACATGGCCTAGTTCCTCGCAGAATGCCTTCATTTCCGTCTTGCGATCCTTGAGTTGCGTCCGATCGACCTGGACCACGAACCACAGACAGTGCGACTCGAAGGGGTTCCAGACCATCTTCACCGGAAGCCCTGCCCGCTGGCAGATATGAAGCACCTCGGCGGCCTGCATAATCCCCCACACCGTGTGACTCTCCTCGGTGGCCCGGCCCGTCACGGAAATCGGCACGATGGGGTCCTTACGGTGCGTGATGGCGTTGACCTTGAAGACGGGGCACTGCTTGGCCGCTCCGGGGAACACCAGTCCGTGATACTCGGCCATGGGACCCTCCGGCGCGGTCTCGGAGATTGAGACCACGCCCTCCATCACCACCTCGGCGTTCGCCGGCACCCACAGGTCGTTGGTCTCGCACTGCACCACCTCGAGCGGCTGGCCCGTGATGGCGCTGATGAACTCCGTCTCGTTCGTCCACTTGGGAATCGGCATGCTGCTGACCATGATCGCCGCCGGGGGGACGCCGAAGCAGAGCGCCCACGGCATATCCTCGCCTCTATCCTTCCACATCTGGAAAATGACACCGATGTCCTGCCGCGGGATGACCGGCCCCACGAGCGACCGGGCGTCGTTGACCATGTTCCGTGTAATCGACCAGTTCACCCACTGCCCGTCCGGCGTGCGAACGATGTGCATCCCAAACGACTGCAGGAACTTCCCGCCGTCATCCTGGTGGACCAGGGGCGCCGGGAGCGCCGTCAGATCAATCTGGTCCCCAAACAACTTATACTCCTTGACCGGCCCGGTAGAAACCTTGGTCGAAGGCAACGGCGCTCTTCCTTTCGCGTCGTTGATCTTCAGGACGATGTCCCTGCCACTGGCGGTCGGTGGCAGTCCCAACGACCTGGCAACTCTGCCCAGCTTCTGGCCGGGCACGCTGCTGAGACCCACGGGGGATCCGAGGATGCGGAACAGGCCGGAATCCCTTCTGTCGTATCCCGTGAAGCTCTCAAACAACGGGGCCTTTTCCTCCGTTTCGTAGACCTTGCGGATGATCGCACCGACTTCGAGGTGCGGATCGACGTCTTCGGTGATGGTCACCAGGTCGTTGTCACGTTCGAGCTCATGGAGGAATTGACGCAGGCTTTCGGCGGCAGATTTGGTCTCTTCGGGAAATGCCATCCTGTGGGGTGAATGCGACTCAAATAGATGAATTTAACGAAGGTGAACTGAATGGAGACGAATTAAAAAAAAAGTAGTGACTTGCAGGTGATTGGAAATCAATTCGTGCGATAATATCTTTATAGATGGTAATGGCTCTCTCGTGGCATCGTACGTTCATCTCCAATTTGGGGTAACGCTAGGGCTGAGGAGCCGACGGAATGGGAATGTAGAGAGAACCAAGCCGACGCCTGGTTGAAACTTGTCTTTTCCGATCATTTCCTGAAGAACCAGCTGCGTCGAAGGAGACAATTTGTCATGGAAACGGAAGATGCTGAATGCTGCCGAACCCCGTCGGGCTGATCTCCCGATGTGACGGGAGTGGAATGGAAGACCTCTTTTCTGGAACTTGTTCCTTTCGCTACGCAGAACGTTACTTTTCTCTTTCTATTTTCTCCTCCTAGAATTATCCTTCCTTCGAGGCACGGCGTATAAAGTCAAATTTCTTTCTAGAAACCCTCGCAGTGCCCTGGTCTATCGACGTGTCCACCTCTTCCTCATCCTCCAAAAACTTCAAACCATGTTCTCATCCAGCACATCAGAGCGCCATGTCTCAAGCAGTAACAGCAATCACAACGGCAATGGACATGCATATCAGAATCAGCTCTCACGCCCCCGACAACGAATCATCGTTGCCATGACGGGCGCCACCGGCTCAATACTCGGCATCAAAACCCTCATTGCCCTGCGTCACCTCAACGTCGAAACGCATCTCATCCTCAGCAAATGGGCCGAAGCCACTCTCAAGTACGAAACAGACTATACCGTCGCTAATGTCCGCGCTCTAGCCGACCATGTGCACAGCATCCATGACATGGCTGCCCCCATTGCCAGCGGGTCGTTCCGCGTCGACGGCATGGTCGTCGTGCCCTGCAGCATGAAGACTCTGGCAGCCGTCAGCCACGGCTTTTGCGACGACTTGATAGCGCGGGCCGCGGATGTGGTACTCAAAGAGCGCCGGAAGCTCGTTCTGGTGACGCGCGAAACGCCGCTCAGTGCCATCCATCTGCAGAACATGCTGGAGGTATCGCGCGCCGGGGCGGTCATCTTTCCACCCATGATGACGTTTTATATTCGACCAGGCGGCGTTGGAGAGATGGTAGACCATTCAGTGGGACGGATGTTGGACTTGTTTGGGCTGGATACGGGGGAGTTTGAACGCTGGGAGGGGTGGAGGAAGGATTAGACTGCCGAGTGTAAAGGGCCGGTGGATAATTCCAAATTGTAAGGGAGGCATATTGCTTGGCACTGAGAATTGTAAATGATTGGGCTATATCATGCCATCGATATTACCTACCAGTTCGTCTCATGGAGTCGTGAGACATCTTCCCAAAAAGCCAGAACTCGCCTAGATCCTCATTCTCTCAGCAATGCCGACTCGATCCATTGCCTGTCCATATCAATCCCAATCGAATCCAGAACCTCCGCCCAGAGACCTGGGTCATCACAGGAGTCCAGACCTATCGAACCATCAGGGATTCGATCTGTGCCGTTCGTCGAGTCCGTCGGTCGCGTGGCGCCGTCTTTGTGGATTGCGGACATGGCGTCCCCTGCATTCCGAGATATGCCGGATTCTGCATTGGCCCTGGTTGCCGGAACAATTGAGTTCATGTTGCTTGATATCCTGACCAGCAGCGAATGGCAGGCTTGAATGTATCTGTTCCCTTTCTCGGCCATCCCGTGAAGAACCGCCAGCGCGGCGTTCATGGCCGATGCATCTTGATCCTTGTACGGAAATGCAATGTTCACCATAACAAGTAGTAAGGCGTTAGAGAACGCTTGTTCCCCGTCGATGAATCCATATGTTGCTAGTGATTCGCTGTTAATCTGTGTGGTCGTTGCCGTAGGGAGCCGAGGGCATGTCCACTTACCGACGAGATTGTACTCCGCAGCCATTTTCCACAGCGCCATGCTTGACCGTGCCGCCGCGATGGACGTGTCAATGATGCCCATGATGTTGGATTGCAGACCCCCTGCCCATATCGAATGGCCGGACGGCCCGGTGTTCGCCGCCATTTGTCGTTGCACGGCGTACAGTAGGAGTGGGCGGACGGTCATGTTGATACAATGGTAATAGTGGAGCTGGGTTGAGATGATGCCACGGCTCAGGCCAGTCGGTGCGCTTGATGTGTTGATCCGCAGCTCCTCGGGCAAATTACCGAACCAGTCGGATAGGCTCCTCATGATCCTCTGGGCGGATGCAAACAAACTGCCGCTTGATGCCTGTTTCTTCCGATAGATCTCCTCCCCTATTGTTCCCTGAATCCTCGATAGCTGCGCATAGGAGGCTAAGATCGAGGAGATCCGGGGGTCCTCGTCGCCAACTTGACCTGGGAGCCCTAGATTGATGTCGGCATCTTGAATGGAAAAGGGACGACCCGAGGTAAGAGAGAGGAGCCTATCCATGCTATATACGGACCACCAAACCCGTCGTCTGTGCTCCCGTTCCTCGGCAGTAATAGCCTGATCCATTACTTCCTGGTGAAGACCCAGGGATATGGCCATTCGAAGAGCAAGGCCGACGTAGATGTACGCCGAGTCCCTTCGATTCAGTGCCTGCAGAAAGTACGCGACATAACTAAGGACCTCCACAAACAGGCTCGATCCATCTTCGTAAGCCTCCGGGAGGAACTTAAGCGCATTTTTGAAGTAGAAGAATCCGGGAGGTCCGTCATCCCCGATCCACTGATTTACCGAGTACATTTGTCCGAAGCCAAAAACCAGGAGCATCTGACAGTACACTAAGCAGTCTTCGCGATCACCAATATTGGGAGGTCGACTGTAGACCATGTCTAATCTGCGGTAGAAATCGGCATCCCGAACGAAGGAGAATATTGTCCCGAGGTAGGCATGTTGCCCTCGGTAGAGTCGTTTCGCATGCTCATATGGAGGAAGCTGGGGCAGCATGGGGCTAATGTCACGCCTGATCCATGAGTCATCTGTGAAATGCGGATGCAAATGCCACGCCAATGTTTCCGTGGTTGGATTGATGCTGTTTGCGATGTAGTTGGAGGAGGAACTTCCCATATAATCTACCGTCGGCGCGTTAGTCCGAGCTGGCTATCCGGCGAAGAAATTCCCGTACGATACTGCCCTGAATCCCCGGAAAACCAGTTCCCAGTTTCGGTCAGGGCCCAGACATTCTCCGTCGACTCGGCGGGGCCTGGCTCGGCATGTGCGTCAACGGGCTGGGAGTTGGAAGAGCGTGCTCTCGCCTGCAGCTCGAGGAAATAGCTTTCGAGCATCGGGAAGTTAGCGAGACTTGACCGAAGTAGGGATGGCCTACCTGGACACCGACCTCTCAGGAACTGTAATCTTTTTCTCCGACGATGGATATGTACACGTATGGCGAGTGTTGCGACAGGCGACACACGCGTAGGGCGGCGTGCCGGCACACTTGGTTTTCCTGCTGCGGCATCGATTACACCTGAGGTACACCGTCAGCATGTATACGAGTCCGGGGGCGGGAAGTACTTACGCTACGGCGGATCGTCTTGCGAGATTGAGATGCTGGTGAGCTCGGGGAGATGAGCGGGGGCTCTGCATTGTGATGGTTGTTCGTCTTGTTGATCCTCAGGCAATTCCTCGCCGCTTCCTTCAGTCAGCTGACTCGGTCTCGGCAGCCGATCCCGATCTTATCTTATCTCCACCGGATCAGCCCGTGTCCTGCCTTCCGGTTGTGGCCTTGTTGTATGTGCGGTCCTGCTCAGGCCGGGATTGCGCGTCTCTGAGGTCTTCATGCTGGGATCCGTTATACTTGAGGTCCCTACAGTCTCTCGCAGTATTCCGATTCCAGAATTATCCGTGTGGTGAGTGACTTTCGAGAATCAAAATATATAATGGGTTTGCTTTGGACAGATGGGCCAAAACCGAGTTGGTAAGCACGAATATACGATTTGTAGTGACAAAGATAGAGCTGAACCTGATTGACAAAATAACAGTCACGCAGGATAATAGCTAGCATGGAAGAATTTATTCCATCCAAAAGCATCAATGCCGAAGTGCCCGTGTATTGACACCAACACATGGGTAAGTAAGCGGCGAAAGGCTTGGGATAATGCCTCAGGCACCTAAACACCAAGCTGCCTCCACGACATTGATACGGCCCAAGGTATACTCGTCTGGGTCCCACTCTAAGGCTCTGGTTTCTATCTCTCTAGTTTTTTGGTTGACAAGGTCCTCCATTTCACCTTTTTCCGAATCGCTCAGGAGCTCAAGTCTCTGCCTCCAGACTTCGTCGATGTTGCAATCATTCGATTCGAAGAACCGCTGATCGATCTTTTCCCAGTAGATCGCGTCAAATGTGAAATTGTTTCGTGCCGCGTATGCAACCCATAAATCCCCACTCTCCCAACTGTGGCGCATTGGACCGGAGAGACGTTGATATCTTTTCATCCGACCTTGCTTGATCGCGTCGTCTTCCCGACGCACCAGGGCGCCGGGAAAACTTTGAAGTCGCCGCTCATACTCAGTACACCAATCACCCAGGCCTTTTGGCCAGTATTCGGGCTTTTCGATCAGAAGTCACCAGGGCGGTGCGTAGGAAAATTCAACCGGGGTAGCGTACGTAAATTCCTAGTGGACAACACCAGTATTTTTAAACTCCTCATCCAGAAGGACATTGGGCGGTCAGAAATCATCACACCACGCCTTGAATGGACCGTCTCAAAAGACGACCATTTGCTCGTAAGCCGGTGCGATCGAGCGAGTTTTAGGAACAGGCTCCCAGCAACGAACTTGCGCCGACAGTCATCGGCCGAGGCAACAGCATCGTTTCGTTGGTTGACCAGGTGGGAGACATGGAGCTGTGAGAGGGCCTCAAAGTAGGAGGACGCCGAGTCAAATGTTGTGCAGGGTAATTTCGATCGAGGTAGAGATCCCAGTCGGATGGGTTCAATCATTGGCATTGACAGAGGTCGCAGGGTGGTTTCCCATGTGAAGTCATCTTTCTGATCCAAACACCCTATCCGGGACATGGAAAGCGCAGCCAGTTCAAGAAGGATACCCCCAAGCTCCCCGTAGAGTGCATGCAGCTTCATCTCACTGATATTGGGGTCGAGAACTCCACGATCTGCTGCCGGACAGTCGGGCGTGTTGAGAGCATCGTACATGTTGGTGTGGTGGTCAATGTATTTCATAGTCACGAAAGGGCTCAGAGTCATTGGACTCCCCATTTTTGTGCCCCAGTGGAGAACAAAAGGGACTCTGATCGAAGTGCGGGCCTGGAGATACCGCATAGCAGCGACCTCGTTCCGAACTTTTTCCTTCGCGAACATGGCAGTCCCGGGTTGGGGAAATCGAATCACGGCGGAACTGCCGTTTTCGTACTCCATCCGCAGAGATGTTGAAGGCGCGCTTCTCTAGGATGGTAAACTTATCGGGGTTATCGGGATCGTGGTGGCGCACCAGAAAGCCCCCGACCGGTCTCAAGATGTCGGGATCGAGGAACTGGCGTACCCAGGAATCGGCGATCTCCTCGCTTTTCTCCCAGGCTGCATCGTCGTAATACATCCGTGGCTGCATGACTGACGGTGTGGTTCAGAAAGAACCGGAACTATGAGGGGGAATACGCAGTTCTCAATAATGCTCTGGGACGAACGTTTGGCAAAGTGGGGTGAGTAATTCCTTGGCTCGATACTCGCAGCTGTATACAGTGCCCTCTATAAAACAATCTAGTCATCAATCACGGAATATAGTCTACCCAATAACCTCCAATCCTGATTCCTGCCCCGCCTGCGCTCATACGGCAGCTTCTCTCCTAGAAGTGCCAACCACCGCGCTTGATAATCAACCCGTGGGACCCGTGCCCGTTCCTCTGGGTCTCTAGGTAGCCCAGACAGACATCGACCATCCGGGGTTGGTACCACTTCGCCATAATTCCGGGGAGGTCCGTCAAACAGCCCAATGCGATGCATGCGCCACGAATCCCAAATGACCAGCCCCAGCCGTCACCATTGCTTGAAGTTCACAAAGCTGTAAGAGAATGGTTCGCGCTGGTGACTGGCAACTACGCTTGAATGTTCAAAAGCCCCGTCATGTTGCGGTAACCATGGACGGGACGCTGCCCTCAGAGACCAGGCTTCTGTTGCTTCGGTGTCCGGCGGAGGAGATGGTGGACTCCATATTAACGGCGGCCGGGTCATATCCCGCCCTGGAGGCAGATCGAATGACTGGAGGAGTGGTAGCGGCGTCTCATCTGGGAAGGTCCAGGCTGCCCGCGAGGACTCTTTACCCTCTGGGTCCTGAGCTAAGAATCTCTGTTAGTGCTGGAAGGGATGGTGCCCGTACATTGGACGTAGACCGAGATCGGAAAGCAAGGCGGCCGTGGTCCACATTTTCTCGGCTCTCCGGACATCTGTGTCATTCCACTCGTTGTAGGCATCCAAGCCCCGCATCGATGTTTCGTCCCAGTTCCAACATCTTGCTGCTTCGCGGAGGGAGGAATGGTGCCGGAGATGCCACATGGAGGAGTATACGCGGTATACCTCCGTGAACGAAAAGGACTCGCGAGCGGTGTTTACGCGATGAGAGGCTGGTATGTCACCAGCATCGATTCCATTGAGAGCTGAGACAAAGTTTTGCTGAATCAGAGTGAGGCAAACGCAGGCTAGCCGTTGTGTTCGAGCGGCTAGGTGAAGTATGAAGCATGCGAGCTCTTCCGTATACTCAATAGGCGGTTTATTCTGGCATCTCTGCTGATAATCGACGAGGCTTCGAAATTCAACCGACAGTGTCTGGATCAAACTGATATTGTGGCACATATTTTGGATCTCCGGGAGGCTTGTAATCGGGTCACATGATACCAGGTCGTGTACAATGGTAGGCTGAGCCCGAAAGACCGCATTGTGGCGATGCGGTAATGATGCTCTCAACCGCCGAGAAATCCGCGGTATAGACGAGAATCCGTGCAAGGAGCTCAGGGGGGAGTTGTGTGAAGGGGTCCATGGTTGGAACAGGTGGCAGACTCGGAGGGAAATTGGAGGGAGACGGGGTCATTGATGGATTTGCTGTGGTTCATGGATTAGGTATGTAATAGGCCACAGCAATCGTTCGATTAACTAGTTAGATGAAAAACAATCCTTGCTGTAATGATACACACTAAGTAATCCCCGTCTGCCGTACGTTACTCCGTACTAACTGTCAAGTTCTATACGGGCATGTTCAGTATCCTCCCACCCCACCCCGCAAAGACTGCACAGGCCCCTGCCTCTGAGAAATTCAAATCCCAGGAGGTAAACCTTGAGCTTGGTTGGTGGGACACGCCGACCTCTTCGAGTCCCGTGGGCATCAAAGCCGCCGTGGAGGACGTTCGAAACACCCTTTTGGCCTTGAGCAACAAAATATCAACCACGGCCTTTAGTTACTCGGGGAATTCCGGTGTTGGTCTCTATGCTGAACACGGAGTACTTCACTCCGATGCCGCCACCACCGCGCTACAGCACTTCACTCAATATCTGGAGTTGAAGAAGGCTATTGGTCGAGTGCTCCTTCAGTACTGCGGTGTCAACTCCAATAAAGCACTGGGTATCGTGGTCGATCCGACTGGTGACCTGTCTGCCGTGCAGCGTATTATGCGAGATTGGAATGAGGCCTTGGAGGACTTTAATAAGAAGACCTGGGGATGGGCAGGCTGTGACCCCATAGGTTCGATAGGTTTTATATTGTTGTGTTATAAATATTTAATGGTTCAAATCAGAAGCCGCAGGGTGACCGTATCCAGCGACCTGTAGCATACACGTCCTCAACCCTGGCAGTAGACACTCCTGATAGGCCCCGGGTCGGCCGATGAGTGATCCCCCGTTCCGAGAAGCGTTTGACGACCTTTACATACCGTGCCACTAACGCAGAGGCAAATAGTGAGTTTTGTTTCTTTTCAACGGGCCCGAATACACTTATACGAAAAAGCGACAGAAAGTAGACGTAACGACAGTATGAATCTCCCTAGTTTCCTTGTGAGTATCCGCTCTAAATCACCCGGAAAGTTAGTATCGCTACTCACTCCTCGTCAATCAAATAATACTCATCAAATGGTATCTGAAACGGCATAATCCCCTCCGCTGTTTCTAAACCAATCTATTTCCCATTAATTATCAACGCAATCGAACGGATATCAAGAAAGGTATACGTATAGTTATGGTCTTCGCGGCACTACTCGCCGCGAATAGCGCCAAAGCGAGGAACGGCCTTTGCTTGAGAGCGTACATCTTGATTTTGAATCGATATTGTGTGAGGTAGCTTTAATGTAGACAAGATAGGAATATAAAATCGCGGTTGGCAGGCTTTAAATAGCCATCCCTTAGGTAATAGAATGAACAGCTATTGTTTGCGCCATATGAGAGTGTCCCTTGGTTCGCGGCATCGCCCTGCATTCCTGCCACGGAAGCAGTAACTGCTCCGTAGACTTCTGGACTGATTATCACACAGCTGGCTGAAAGATTTTACTGTAGGATTAATGCAGGAATCTGTATGTAGAGAACCATCCATCGACGCCGAGCTCATCGGGCTAGACTAAAAACAAGAACTTCGACACGAATCTAGTTTTTGAAATTACTCAATCACTGTTCTCCTGATCTCCTCTGATTGATCCGTAGCAGTTTCAATCGGTTGTTTCGTTGAGTTAGGACCTCGTCCAGCTCGCAGGGCGATCCGACGAGCCCTTAACGGGATCAATAACACGCCTGGCTTCGCGACCCCGCGCCTGCCTACCTCAGGCATCACTCTGTGACCCTGTGACACCGGCCTTGGCAATTGGTTTCTGCCTCGACACCTTGCTGTCTCGTCGCCTTGACACCTCGTTGCCATAACCAAGGGCCTTTGACATCTCGTCTCGCAGAGCTCGGTCATCAACTCAACGGTTTCTTCGAGCTTGCCGACTGCCCTTGGCTTAACGACCTCTCCAACAACCTTGGTGCTCGTTACACCCCATTAGCCATGAGGATCCCCATCGCCCGCTTGACCTCGTACGGTCCCGGTCTACCTCGGTTGCCTCGTCACGATCATCGGAACCGATTGTTGAGAATCCTAAGAGAATCGGTGCCGGCTCCGCTGAGCCCCTTGAAACCTATTTTGAATAAAGTTTGACCCGCTGCTCAGAGCGAGGTTGGTGGGTGCGCAGACAACCAGCTCTGGTAGGCAATATTTGTAGAGATATGACGATCTGCGAGCTTGAGGAACTCTCTGACAGCTTTCTGGAAAAAAGACTTATCGAGAGGATAAGAAACATGTTTAGTAATAAGTCTGTCGGCTACGCGTCCGCGACTATTATCGGGGCAAAATCATATAATAAAGTAATGTAGGCCTAGAATGATTCTGAAAAGGAATATCTTTCGGTCATTAATGGGTCCATACTGAAGACTTTAATACGGACGAATTGGTTGGGAAGTACAAATCTGAGCTAAAAGAATAGGTGGTAGTTGAAATATTGCATATAGTATGGATACTCGAGGAGTGTCGTACCGATTGAAATTCCTCGATATGGTCCTCAGCACGGATTACATTTTGTAGATTATGACACACAGTGCCTATGGCTAGGAAAACAACAACTTCGACGCGAATAAAATTTTTGAAATTACTCAACCACCACGACGGCTACGGCCTTCAGAATCGACTAGTTTGTCAATAACTTCAGCCGCTATCGACTGATTCTATTTTTATAGGGGATTTCGAGATGGTTGGGGTGAAAACCCCGTGGCCGGCCCTTTCAGGGGTTCCCGAGGCGGCAAACTCACCAAATCAGAACTTTCTTACTTGCGTACTGAACCTTCACGCCGACGCGAAATCGTTCATTTCGCACAACGAGCAGGCCGGAAAACAGCTACCAAAGCCTGTTATCGACTTCTTCGAGCAGGTAGTCACCTACTGCGGTTTCATGCAACGCCAAACAACGGATATTCTCGATAGGAATGCTCACTTAGGCCCTGAGCTGGCTTCGATCAAGCAGACCCTTCAGAACGTCCAACAACATACCCACAGTACCCAGTCAAGCATTCGGAACCAGAGCCACCAATCTTGGGCTTCCGTGGTCAGGAATGCGCTTCCTCCAGCTCATACGCTATCCACTCACGACTCCTCCAGCACCGCCCCGGCCACACCGTCAGAACTCAGCAAGGACCGCGAAGTGATCGTTAAACTGCGAGATGCTGGTGCCCAGAAGACCTACCGAAAGAAGTCATCGGCAGAGATAAAGGATAAGGCAGAGAGTGCGAGAAAAAGAGCTGCAGCAACGATTCCAACGCTCTCCCTGGCGAGCGCCCGATTCGTTTCCGCCAGACAGCTGCGCTCGGGAGATCTCAGCCTGGCCCTACATACTGCCGCGGAGGCCGAGACTGCCAGGATCTACGATAAATGGGCGGATCTCATATCAAGCGGAGCCACCCTGCGACGCCCTACATGGGGCGTGGTAGTCCATGGCATCCCGATCAAGTCAATCCAGGACCTGAGCGATCAGGGCGAACAGGACCGAGTAGCCAGAGAGCTACTCGACGAGAACAGGGAGGTTTGGAATCAGAAACCTGATATCAAGCGCGTAGCCTGGCTTACCCATCCTTCCAATCACAAGAACCAGAAATCCTCCGCCCTCGTTGTCGAATTCTCTGATCCGAGACATGCAAACGAGGCAATCATGAAAGGGACTATTTGGGCTAGCGATAGCCGGATGAATGTTCTATACGATAGAAACGCGCGGATTCGGCGATGCTTCAAATGTCAGCAATATGGACATATAGGAATCGTTTGTTCGAATAAAACAACCTGCGGCCTCTGTGCCGAAGGCCACGAGACCCGGTCTTGCGTACAGAGGTCTGCCCCCAGTAGCCAGGGACGCAAATGCGCTGGATGCGGCGAAGCGCACGCCGCCTGGTCGAGAGTCTGTACGAGGTACGTAGCGGAGCAGGAGCGGGTGCAAACTGTAACCCAATATCGGCAGCCCCTGCACCGCATCCCGCCCTATCTACAGGATTATCCCTCCGTGGGTAGCGACACGGAGACCTCTGGCCCGCCCAACAGCGAGGGGCGGGCTGCGGGATCTGGGGGACAGAGAGAAAGATGGACCCGGTCAACCAGCCGGCCAGCGGAGCGGAATCGCTCTACAGTAAGATTTCAAAAAGGATCTATACCGCCACACAGCTCGCAGGAGCTTGTCCCTGTGCAGCAAGAAGAGGCCCTGATAGACCTAAGTCCGGAGATGGACGTGGACCCTATCCCGTCCGAGACAGAACCGTCGATTGCCCAACAAATCAACATGATCAGCGAACCGGAGACGCCCGTACCAATGACCCCTGCCCCCAGGGGTCGTACCCTGAGCAAGAGGCGCCCCCGCAGCGTCACCTTGCGGGCAACGAGGCGAAGCGCTAGACACCAGGTAACGCAGGAAGCTGCCCCCTTTGCCATTTTGCCTACTACAGGGGACACCCCTCCAGCGAAGAGGACCCGAAGCAAGCAGCCAACCTACCGAGGACGATCAATATCGACTAGCGATATCACTAGCGATAACGCAGTGACAGCCCTCCCAAAATCGCCGGAGGCATCTCTTATCCCTGCATCTACCCCCTCAGGGCATCCGACCACGATCGTCTTGGCCGAGGACAACACGCTTGCCCGTTCAGTATCAAGGAAACGTACTAGGGACCGTCGCCATGAATAGGCCCCTACACGTGCTTCAATACAATGTGAATCGATCAAAGGACAGGGTGATGGCCCAGTTCCTCCGGGACCCGGCAGTCCTGGAGGCTGATATCATCTTCATACAAGAACCATGGGATAACCCCTTTCAGGATTCAACTCATCATCCAGCTAAAGCAACACACCAGCTTCTATACCCGACACGGACGGATATAGGGGACGAGCGGGCACGCGTGTGCCTCTTTATTTCGCGACAAATCGACCCGAACACCTGGAAACACACACTCCATTCGAGGGACATTCAAGAGCTTGATCTGACCGGTGCTGATGGCAAGCGGCTTCGCATCTTCAATATATATAATCGACCTGCCGAGGTTGGCACCGGCACCTTAGGCCTGGTCAGTGACCTCACTACTAACAATACTAATGACCACGTTCTCCTACTGGGGGACTTCAACCTTCACCACCCGGCCTGGGGCGGCGAGAATGCCGCCCGGGATACCCTTTCTAACCAGTTACTTAACTTAAGCGATAGAAGGTGCCTGGATCTCTGGCTAGAGCCGGGCACTACCACCAGAGACGAAGCCGGAGCGAAGTCCTCGGCTCGCAGGACCTGACTCCTAGGCTCGTTGCCTGTGAGGTCACGGAAAAAATTCACGCAGACTCCGATCGGCTACCTATACGGACCCTTATTGACATCCAAACTAAGACTCCGGAGGCGCAGCGGCGCCGCAACTGGAAGGCATGCAAAGTGAAAGATCTACAGACTTTTGTAGACCTGAAATTACACAGCAAGGCCTTTCCACTTGAGAATAAGCAGCACATTGAACTCGCAATGGAATTCCTTATTGAAACGGTAAATCAAGGAATAGCAACGTCTACCCCGTGGGCACGACCAAGCAAGTGGGCGAACCCGTCTTTCACCCCGGAATGCCGAGAGATGACCAAGATCACTCGTAAATTCAGGCGTGCATATACCGAGACCTGCATGGCTATGGGCCCTACCGATCCCACTACAGGGCTGGCCTGGGACCGCTATGCGAAGGTCAGAAACCGCAAAGGAAAAGTGCTGGCGAGGGCCCTACGGCAGGGACACCGGACCTGGGTCAGAAAGGCCACCGAGGCAGGCCCCCGAGGCACGTGGCGCGTGGCCAGATGGGCCAGGAACCGGGACGCCTCCGAGGGACTGGTCCCAACACTGAAAACACCAGATAACGGCCTCGCAGAAACTGCAGAACAGAAAGTTGAGGCATTCCGGAAGGCCTTCTTCCCTCACCCACCTCCCACAGACCTTTCCGATATCCCTACGACTTCCCTACCTCGGCAACTTGGCTTCCCGGATCTCGCCGAGCACGAGGTGCTGCGCTGCATCCGAAAGGCGCCTCCTGACAAGGCCCCCGGGCCCGACGGCATCCTTAATAAGGTCTGGCACTGGCTAGGTGAGGCTCCCTCCTTCGTGAAGGCGCTCACGGGTATCTTTAACGCCTGTATCCGGCTCGGGCATAACCCCGGATACTTTCAGCAATCTACAACGGTTATCCTCCGTAAGGCCGCGCCACGGGATTATCGAGTCGCTAAATCCTACCGGCCTATTGCCCTCTTGAACACACTCGGTAAGATTCTAGAGGCGGCTATCGCCACCCGCATAGCCTATGCATTGGAGGAACATAGCCTACTGCCACGAGGGCACCTAGGGGGACGCAAGGGTATCTCCGTCGACCATCTAATTCAACTACTGATGGATGCTATCTTTGATGGCTGGGGCCGAGGCCAGAAGGTAAGTATGCTCCTGCTAGACGTAGCAGGGGCCTTCGACAACGTCTCCCATACCCGGCTGCTGCACAACCTGAAGATGGCACGACTAGGGCACTTCGCCGGATGGCTGGAGTCATTCCTTTCAGACCGACAGACCCGGCTCCAACTACCTGGCTACTTGAGCGGTATCATTTCTACCCCGACGGGGATCCCCCAGGGGTCCCCTATCTCCCCGATCCTTTTCCTTCTCTTCAACACGCCCCTTATTCGGGCGTTAGGAATCAATAATGTTGAGAGTACGCGCACTCAGCCACTACTTTCGGGCAAAACCCTGGCATTCGGCTGGATTGACGATACCTGTACGATCGCTCTTTCCGAGTCCTACGCAGCTAATCAGCGTCTACTGGAGTGGGCACTCAATAAGGCTGCTGTATGGTCCTGGCAGCATTCGTCTAGGTTCGCGCCGGATAAGTTCGAACTGATACACTTCCGGAACCCGCTGGACCCCGATCCCGGGGCCGAAAGGGACACCCCCTGGGACTACACGGAACCATGGAAGGGAGAGGACCTTACCAACGTTAACTGGGAGGACGAGAGCGCCTGGGAGGTTCCCGTTGAACCCCAGGGGCATGATTAACTGCTAATAAAGGATCACGCAATGGGCTACGTTATTCGGTCAGTAGAGCACGCTAAATATCTCGGAATCTGGCTTGATAAGACTCTCTCCTTTACTACCCACTGCACTAAAGTGGTAGCGAAAGCGAATGGGAGCCCTGAGGCCCTACGGAGCATCTCTGTGTTCACATGGGGCACGTCCCTGCTGAACATGCGAACCATATATCTGGCCGTAATAGTCCCGCAGATGCTCTACGGGGTTGCTGCATGGTATAGCCCTACCAGCGGACGTACTAAGTATGCAAAACGGCAGAAGATTATCAACGAATTCGAACGAATCCAGACGCGGGCAGCAGTACTTATTAGTGGAGCATTCAGAAATACCGCTTCTGCAGCCTTAGGGGCAGAACTGTTCCTGCCTCCGGTCCGCCTGCACATGCAACAGATGATTGAGGAGGCCACGATCCGGATACAGACCGGACCGGTTATAGCCTGTCCCCGGAGGTTAGTCAGGAAGAGAAGCTCGGCGGAAATAAGATGGTCAGGGTGGTCCCCCATGGAGGCGCTGAGATGGAGGAAGGGGGGCCCCCTATGGACCGGTGGCCGAAGTTTGGCTACGTGGGAGTCCCGAAAGGCGCACGTGCTCGCCCCGTGGGAGCTCCCACTTAACTGCGTGATCGAGGGAGCGGATAGCGCAATCCAGGAACACGACAGGATCTGTCAGGAAAGCCGGAGGCAGATCTGGTACTCTGACGGCAGCGGCTTTAACGGCCACGTAGGGGGTGCCACAGTCTCGATTTGGGCCGGGAAGGTCCGCAAGAAATACCTAGGAGCCGCGGCTGACTCCACTGTGCACGTGGGAGAGCTAGAGGGGGTCAAAATGGCCCTGAAGTGGGCAGAGGCGGCCCCGATCACGGTCTTTTCAGACAGCCAGGCGGCTATTGAAGCCGTGAGGAACCCTGGCCGACCATCAGACCAGTACGTACTACGGGCTATCTACGAGAGGATCAGGTCCCTGAGAGACGGGGGCCTGCAGCAGGGAGATATAGAGCTGCGCTGGATCCCTGCGCATATCGGTGTAGAAGGGAATGAACGGGCTGACGAGGCAGCCAAACGAGCCGCGATAAAGGGGATTGAATTAAGCTCAGTAGGGCCAAGGGACCTGGCCGCTCGGCCAATCACGGGGCTCGCAGCTGCAGCCAAAACTGACGTCCGCCGGGGAATCCAGGCGCAGTGGGCGAAGTGGTGGGAGCGACAACAGGTTGGAAAACCTACCAAACGGCTGATTCCGAAGCCGAAAAAGAAGGTCTTGAGGATGTACGAGGGCCTGAGCAAGCCCCAGACTTCTATAATCATCCAGATGCGCACTATGAGGATCGGATTGAGGCATTTCCTCTTTAAGATAAAGCAGGTCGATTCCGACCGCTGCGGGTGTGAATTAAGCTCTCAAACGCCTAAACACGTCCTTATGGAGTGCTCGCTGCACCTCGCCAGTCGGAGAATAATGATGGAACGCCTCGACTCTATCGAGGGACTGCGTGGGCGTATACAGGACTACGACGCGGTCATGAACCACCCGCAGGCGATACGCTACGTCGCCGATTTCATGCAACGAACAGGCCTCCTACAACAGTTCCTATTCGCCACGTTTAAAGACGAGGAGGACGAGGAGGTCCCGGAACCCAGCACCCTCCTGGAGGGACTCGATCTAAACGAGGAAGACGATGGTTATATTGAACACTAAGAGCCAGGAAGTCTCAACTGGCTACGTGACGCACACAGGAACAGTGGATCCCACTGGAATACACAGATAGAACGGAGTGGAAGGAGAGAACAGCGTCTAGGGGCGCAGTAGGCACGCGGCAGACGTGTGGCAGCAGGTTATTATGTTACTTTTGATCTTTTTTGTCCACTGCATTGGGTTTATACGGCGTACGGGCTCGAGATTCTGCTTCATTCGGCGAAGCGCCTGCATAGCCTGTCGTTTCAATAGATAGGCTTCACCAGGTTAATAGAATTTTGATTGATTGATTGATTGATTGATTGCCTATGGCTAGGTAGCGACCGGTGGAGTGGTCAGCCTTGCAGGCTTATGCCGTGACCCCTCTTTCCAGCCTCGTGAACATCACTTTGCATCTTCCTCCCATAATCAGAACTCTTCTGCATTCCAGTCTGCTAATCCTGGGATATCTAGGGCTGGAAGCCTTGATACGATTTCATGCTGCCTGTTTAGTTCACAATGTCTCTCTCTGCCTTTTCCTTTATTTCTGCTGATGACTTCTTTCGATAGGTCTTCTGGGCACCAGCATCTCGCAGTTTGACGATCACTTCGCGGTCCTTGCTGAGCTCTGACGGTGTGGCCGGGGCGGTGCTGGAGGCGTCGTGAGTAGAAATCGTATGGGCTGGAGGAGGCGCATTCCTGACCACGGAAGCCCAAGATTGGTGGCTCTGGTTCCGAATGCTTGACTGGGTACTGTGGGTATGTTGTTGGACGTTCTGAAGGGTCTGCTTGATCGAAGCCAGCTCAGGGCCTAAGTGAGCATTCCTATCGAGAATATCCGTTGTTTGGCGTTGCATGAAACCGCAGTAGGTGACTACCTGCTCGAAGAAGTCGATAACAGGCTTTGGTAGCTGTTTTCCGGCCTGCTCGTTGTGCGAAATGAACGATTTCGCGTCGGCGTGAAGGTTCAGTACGCAGGTAAGAAAGTTCTGGTTTGGTGAGTTTGCCGCCTCGGGAACCCCTGAAAGGGCCGGCCACGGGGTTTTCGCTCCAACCATCTCGAAATCCCCTATAAAGATACAATCATTCGATAGCGGCTGGAGTTATTGACAAACTGGTCGACTCTGAAGGCCGTAGCCGTCGTGGTGGTTGAGTAATTTCAAAAAGTTGATTCGCGTCGAAGTTGTTTTTTTCTTCAAGAAGGACGATCGTCCCAAGGATTGTCCGATATTCTTTGATTAATTGCTCTCTCTTCTGTCCGCATTATCCTGCAAGGAGACGATCCAGTACTGGAAGGTATGTTCCATTCAGTTTTGAGGTGTCAGTCTGATGAATGAGGATCTCTTTGAGACTATCCTCTGGATCCCATTGATAGTCCAGGAGAATACAGCAGATAGTGGCAGCAAAGATAAATAGCGGGACCGACATCTTTATAAGTGCCTGAGTTTTACTGTCTCCCGACCAGTCTTGTTGGAGAGACCGCTTCTTTTGAATTCTCAGAAGTTTGTGTTTGAAGAACAAAGAGATATCATGTTGTATTATAGGCTCTGGGATCTGTTGAAGGATAAAGTCTTGGTGATCATCACCGACTTCGTCCTGAAAGCCTAGTCGGATTGGTAGTTCGGGTCGACTGGTCACAAAGATTCGCAGGTGAACTAAGCGTACTTGCTTTAATTGTGGTAGTAACTGTAGTATAACGTGGATGTCATTGTCGTTTTCACATTCATCTAGTGCATCAATCGTAATCACCACGGTTCGGGTCGGAAAATTCGATTCCTCAAAGCTTAGCAGTGGCTGGAGAACTAGCTTGTCAAACTGCTCTTTAAGGGACTTGGCTGATATTCTGAGGTCGTCTTTTAGTACATGCATGGTCACAGGCTGTATTTCTGGAATCTGGATGAATAGCTGTCTTGTGATTGTCGGGAAGAATCTTGTTGCGTTACTGCGGTCTCCTTCGCCTCTCTTAAAGAAGAAGCTTGCCCCTAGCAACCCTCGTTTTCCGAAGGATTTTGCCACAGTTCGTGATATTGTGGACTTGCCAGTTCCAGCCGAGCCATTGAGCCAGAAAATACATTTGCTTTCTGGTGAGATGGCCCATTCATCAATGTTGCGAAGAAGCTCCTCTCTGGTCCCTGGGAGACATTCGTCCTCATGTTGATCCATATATGTTCCGAATTCAGCCCCTTCGGCCACTGGTAGCTCCTTGAGATCTACAATTTGGGCCATAGACCTGATGTCCAAAGCAGATTCACTGGTAGTATCAAGGATTCTATCAATATTAATGGAAACATCCTTCAGTTGGCCTTGGATCTCTGTTAAATGCACTGGCATTAGGCATGCTGGAATCATACAAAAGTTGTGGGTAACTAGGACTAACCGCGCATAGCTTCGCTGGCTCTCCGCTCATGTTTCACTCGCTGTGAGACAATTTGATGTAACAGGTCCTTTGCATATGCAGCTGCCATCATTGCCGCATAGCCTTGCCATTCCTTGTTATTGTGGGAGTCGGCATAATCACAAACACCACAAATGACCAAACAAGGGAAATGGTTTATCAGTCCAGCTGCTTCCATTTTAAAACATAAAACACCTTGCTCTGCTGCAAGCTTGTCACGGAATATTGCATCCTTAATCAATCTATTCCCAGATGCAATCAAGCCGTAGTGGATAGCAGGATTATCCTCATCCTCAGCTCGCTGTGTCCGAAAGATTAAATTCGTGTTGTCGCAGAGCTCAGCACAGTTCGACTGATAGTCCTGATGGGTGTACTGGCTTTTATAAAGCCTGTCGCTTTCGGTAGGAGGTTGTGCGTATTTTCCTCTTAGTCTTTTGTTGCCTTCAAGCACGTTTTTGATGTAGTCCTTCAGCTGGTGGCCCTCCTCTTCATACTGCGCTTGAAGCCCAGCTACGGCCGTACGCAAGATCAGTGGTGATTGATTTAAGAAGCCTGTTTGATGAAACTCCTGGTCTTGAACCTCCTTGCCAAAGTCATATTGAAGCAAACCACCATGGCCACTCCGAGATGAGCTCACGACAATATCACCGAGACGGATGTCCTGCTTGGTTGGTACGCCCCCACCGATCCCCACCATAAGCCCGAATCGGACGTTAGGGAAACTGTGTAACATATCTCTCGCAACACAGGCGGCCGATGATGTCCCATACTCTCCGTCTGGAAGAACTGCAATAACGATCTGGTGACCCCTAATTTCCCCCAGTGTGTAGTGATTATTATCGTTCGGTGATAGTGTTTCCGGTGGGTCGTGTCTTTTATCAAGGAAAGCTCGGGCAGCGACATATTCCGTCTGTAACGCACATATCCAACCAACAGTATACTGCTCTGTGTTTGACATGGTCGGGATGCGGGTAGCGTGGTCAGTAGCGGGTCTTCCTATGCCGTATCGATATGTTGATGGTAAAGTGTCTGAAGGGACAGTTAGAGGTAATGGGAAAGTGAAAATGTGGAGAGGGGTAATCGTGGCTGTAGGCCCAGCGCTTATTTTTGGCTTGCAAAAGGCTCCTATTCCAGTATAACCATTCACATCTCCATGCCAAGTCTATATTAGGTAATATTATGAAGATTGGTTTTATGTTGGCGATACTGCCGCCTCAGTCCGCCTTCCCTATATGGCGGCTTGGCAATAGCGCTCAACCCCTTTCCATAGAGGATTCAAGCATTTCACTCCCGATTGAGTAGGCAATACAGCTATGTCGCTGTCATTTTATGTCCACAGACAGGAATAATCATGGTATAAGAAGGCATAACACCACGTGACATGAGTGGGAGCTTTGGAGACTGGTACATTCCACAAGATCCAGGCAGCCCACCGAGTCAGTCTATCGTCCGCTTCCAGTCCCAGGCAGATTCCCAGTCTCCCAGATCCCAACTGCGTCAGAATGGCACCCAGATTATCGCTCCTGCAGGTCGAAATTGCTCGTGACATGATTCTCAGTAAAGAACCGCTAACCAACGCCGAGATTGCGAGAGTCGCTCAATGCAATGAACGCTCAGTCACTAATATCTGTCGCAACCTCAAGCTCTTTGGGACACCCCGAGCCCCTGAAAACCGTGTCGGCCGACGAAAAAGCGTTACACCTCACATGCTACAAGTTCTTTGCGATCATCTGCATAAGAACCCCGAATCATATCATGACGAGATGGCTGTGTTTCTGTGGGATGAATTTGACGTCTGGGTGACAAGTCAGCATGTGACTAAATTTGTCTATCGAAAAACGCCACGCCTGGCTTACGAAGATTTTGGTATTATTACGTTCCAATTCCATACACCTCTTTGATTACATTTATTACAGGCTAAGTCCATTATGGATTAGATCACGGTATTGGCGCTGGGAAAGAGTGAAGAGTTGCAACTCTGTAAAGCCGAACCAGCAAGGTGCTGTATATCTGCCGCCGTACTCGCCTGATTTGAGTTCCATTGAAGAAACCTTTGCAGAGCTTAAGTCGTTTATTAGACGGAACTGGCAATCCTATGAAGGTAATTCTAATCAAGGGTTTAGTTCTTTTCTTGAGTGGTGCGTGAATGTTATAGGCGCAAAGAAGAAAAGCGTTGAAGGGCATTTCCGTAATGCAGGCCTAGCGATTGAAAGGTAATTGATAATATAATATTGTATTGTGGGCTGTTCCACGTTTTGTGTATGGTTAATCAATATGTGATTTGTTTAGTGTTTGATGAAGAGAACTTTTGAATGTAGATAGAATGATGGTTATAGATTTTTTGGGATTATAGTGGTTAACCTTGTTCAAGTGATGCGGCTTCGACAGTGGCTAGATAGGGATCTCGATCCACTACTCTCCCAATATCACACATCCTCGTTCTTCTCAACAATGGCGACGGCGGCGGCGGCGGCGGCAACAACAACGGCAACCCAGACGATCCAGACAGTAGTTGCACCGAGGCATCTACCAAGACAAACTATTGGGTTACATTACCGAGTCTAGACTCGAACTCGACATCGTGCAGCACAACAAGCAGCATGCTCGCTGTCGGTTGCGACATCACGGCCACAACGACAACAACCGGTGAGTGTGTCTGCAGCAGCTTTAATCCGGATGAAGACCAGGGAGACAGCAATGGCCGGCTCCCTAGCGGAACCACAACTGCCGTCCCAACAGTCTTGGCCACAACGACTACAACCAACAAGCCCTTCACCTCTTCCGAAACTACGGCGAAGACCTCGACTAGGGGCTCGAGTAAGACCTCGACGGCATCCCCCCCCCCGGCCCGCGACAGCCGCCGACGGCTGCAGCAAAGTCGGAGGCAGCACCACCTGGCGCTACTGGAACCAACATGATCCGGGCACGGGCTCACCCATTGGCGGCGACTAGGCGGAAAACGACCCCTGGTGCTACATATTGGAAAGCGGAAGCGATTCGTATGCCAGCTACTTGAAGCAGGCCGACTGTCCGACCGACTTAAAGTGCGCGGAATCATGGGGCTACGTCGTTCCGCCGTCCCGTGGGTGCGCGCCTCTGAGCGGCAACACCGGGCTAGCAAACACCCGCTGGAGCAGCTGCAATGAGAAGACCGGGGAGGGCACGAACGATGAATGGGAAGAGAGGATGTCGTGGTTTTGGCTGAAGGGGGGCCGATCCTTTGCCAGCTGCGACGAGGCCGACAACTGTAGTGCCATCACGGAGTATGTTCCTGACCATTAGTCCTCCGGCGGGTGTGATTCCAAAGACAAGACCATAAAATTCTACCGGGGTGTACCGTGCTCAAGAACCAATTTCGGTTGTCTCCGCCCCCACAAGTGGAATTTTGCCCTGGCACGGACTGAAGCTAAGACGAGGCTATGGGGCCCAGATCAGGGAATAGTGGACCCCCGTTGCCAATAGCTTCCTCCCCCCCAACCAATCGCATCAATATCAGGCCCCAAATGTTCCCAAATAGGGGGCATTTGGCCCCTTCGGAGAAACAGAGATGAACCGGAGGATCTCATACATGGGGTCTCATCGCACTGCCCACACCCATTCATAATGTTCCGGACCCGATGCTCACTTTCAGCTTTTTCTTCGACTCCACCTCCGTCTTACTCTTCCTCCCACCATATCCGCAACCTCCCAAAAAATCGTGACTGTGACCCAGGCCCATAATGATCGCCTCATCTTCTACCTCGTTGGGCGCTTTGGCTCTCCTGATTGTCTCGGCCCAGGCGGTGGAATGGGACGAATACGCCTGCATGAGAAGCTCAGGTGGCATGACAAAGATAGGATCCTCCCCATACCAATCGCCAGGGTACTGCCAGAGACTGTGTGATGAAAAGAAGGGACTGTTCTTGGCCCTCCAGGGCGAAGACTGCTGGTGTGGCGACCAGCCCCCGGGTTTCAACACTATGGGTGGCTCGTGTGATATGGATTGCCCAGGATGGCCCAATGATCAGTGTACGTGTGAATCTCCCTGAATATGATGGACTATGGAACTGACCGGTCGGGCAACTTTAGGTGGTGGTCATGGCACGTACTCCGTGTGGGAAGTGGTGGAAGATTTCTCGAAATCGAGCCTGGAGGAGTCCAGCACCGCGGGTGTTGGAACAGTGACCACTGCTGCCTCTTCTTTCTCTTCTTCTTCTTCTTCTTCTTCTTCTTCTTCTTCTTCTGAATCCTCAGACGGGGACTCAGCATCCGCGTCAGTGACCTCTTCTTCATCGCCCACCACTTCGTCGACCGTGACTTCCACTTCGTCGGTGGCTTCTACTTCGTCGGTGGCCCAGCCGACTCCGACCACTTCTACCTCCGGGGCTAGTCGTCGCTTTCGATTATTGCTTTTCTAGTCTTTGATGTGGAGCTAACGCAGGACTTTTCACATGTATCTATAATTTGTAATATCGGCTGTACCCTCTACGGAATTTACGCAGTTATGGTTCCATTTCGCAACTATGTTCCACAAATGACAGACTCCGGTGAATGAGGTGTATTAGACTGTTCGATGCATAGTAACCCTTCCTAATGCTCCTCGCCAATGTTAAACACCAACATGCAGCCGCGCGCCGTCTCCTCGCGCAAGGCATGCAACCCCGAAATCACCCCGGCAGACCTCCGTCGCCCAACCGCACCGGATGCGGGACGACCGCGCCGTCGGCCAAGAAGCGCGTCGCGGTCTCCAGCCAGGCCTCCGCAAAGTCCCGATCGGCCGGGTTGGCCGGGATGCGCTGACCGTGGAACAGAAAGTCATAGCCACCCGTGGTGTAGGCCAGGGTCCAGTGACTACGAACATCCTCCCGGGGCACGGGAGCACCGGGGAGCAGGGCCGTGTACTCGTCCCCTTGGGCTTGGCTGATTGCCTGGCCGCAAAAGGAGGCGGTTTCCGGAGTCGAGATGGTGTCCACCACCAGGGCCAGTTGGTCCTGGGTGGCTTCGCGGATTTGCTCCGGGGCGGCCGGGTCGTGGTGGTCGTAGACCTGGTCGGCGCCGCGCCCTCGGACGAGAGCCTCGTGCTAGGAAAAGAGTAGGTAGTGATGACCATGTAGCCGGAGAGCTTAGCGTACTGGATTGCCAGGGTGCCGACTGTGGTGGAGCCGCCGTAGATGAGGATGTATTGCGGTGCGGAGAGAGGACGAGAAGGAGGAGCCAGCCCCAAGGCCTGGTAGAGCGATTGACTGACGGTGACGAGATTAACGCCCAGGGTGGCTGCATCCTGAAGCGTCAGGTTTTCCGGAACGACCACTGCCACGTCCGCCCAGCCACGATATACTCGGCGAACGCTCCGTCGGACGCCTACTCGAGGTTGCAGCCGTGAACGGCGCCAAACACGCGGTCTCCCACCCGGAAAGATTTCTTCGTGGCTGGTTCGACGGCTCCCACGATCCCGCCTAGTCGCAGCCAACAGTCGCCCCGGTCTGGCTGCGAAGGCTGTTCTTCCAGTCCGTCGGGTTCAGACCAACGCTGGCAACTTTCACGAGGATGCTGTCATCCCGAAGAGTGGGCAGGGGGCGGTCGTTTTCGACCGCAAGGGTGGCCGGCGCACTGACAACAATCGCTTGCACCATGATGATCGATTGGGGGGTGAGTGACAGATAGGACACGTTCAATGGGGTTGTAACTTGTGGGTGAAAGAAAAGTGCAGCTCAAGGGCGGCAGGAAGAGGTATTTGTTTGCCGCCTCGGGACTCCCTGAAAGGGCCGGCCACGGGGTTTTCGCCCCAACCATTTCGAAATCCCCTATAAAGATAGAATCACTCGATAGTGGCTGGAGTTATTGACAAACTGGTCGAATTTGGAGGCCGTAGCCGTCGTGGTGGTTGAGTAATTTCAAAAATTAGATTCGCATCGAAGTTGTTTTCTTTCACCTCTAAACTTCGGAAACCATTTTGCCGTGTTGAACCTCGACCTTATCGACGCGATAGTCGCCAACGTAAACACCACGGACGAGGGGAAGGAATAGATCAAGATTACAGCGAGCTGGATTGACGCGTGGGCTTACACCTTCTTTTAACACTTTACGAACCTAGTTAACAATTGACATGAATAGTGTGCATAAACAAGACCCCCCGCCGCTCACAATCTTCACGCGCATCTACTTCTCTACGTCTCAATTCCCCGAAGTCAGCCCCGACACCCCGTTCGCGTCCGTCGCGAAAGGGCTAGGCAATCTCAGAGAGTCGAGCGAGGAGAGCCAGATCTACCATGCGTTCAAGACGGAGGACGATAACACGGTCGCGCCAAAGACGAGATATTATGCGGAAGCCGGGAACTCGATCGAGGAGATTCTGAACAGTCAGAAGATAGACACGGTGATTCTGGTGGGTGGTTACTTCCTCTACCCGTGATTATTAGGGGAATAACAGAAATTGGCTAATTCAGGCCTTTTCAGTTTGGGATTCGCACTTCCGGAGTTATTCTAGCTACGGCGCTGAGGCTGTTTGATTTGGATTATAATATGTCAGTTACTCCCTATCTTATAATTATCGAGATTCTAACGAATAATTAGGTATATTATTTCAAATAACACCATCGAGCCTAGTCCCTTGGCGGAGAGCATCCAGCACTCCATTCTTTACGATATCTTCCCGAAAATCCCAGTCAGGGTCATTACCATTAAGGAAGCACTTGAGGGTTTGAGAGCTTCAAGGTCGACTGCATCGTTCGGAGCACATGACGCTATGTGATGTGTCACATTATGTATGTTATCTTGTTATTCCTGGATTCTGTTAGAGGCTTTCGGTTATCTGGCCGCGACACTAGTTCTCATGTTGTGAGTAGTTAGCTGACCTACACTGGGCTGTATCTAGCTTGCCTGTAGGGCCTTATCATGCTAAATTCAAGCATTCTAGACCGATTGAATTGGCCCACGTCGATCAGACTATTAAAAACGTACTTGGTTTGCTAGCCAGGTCAACATGTCTTTGTTTATGTTTTTTAGTGCTTTGACCCTGGCCGGCATGTGACCAGCTGCAAATGAACTCCTTGGCCAATGACTCGCCCCTCTTTTGCCTTTCCTCTCCTTGCTTCCCAGCTGTTTCAGTTTGCTATCTTGTCAACCCCCCTCTACATCATGAGGAAGTTTGGATACACATGTGTAGCCTCCGAAAGTCCCCGCTCCTTCCTCTTCTGCGTCGTTGCTAATGTCGGCCCCGGTAGCGCCAGCCGCTCCCTGGCCGTGGCCTACCGCCAGGGCAGAGACACTAACAGCAGAGAGGGTTATTGGACACGCAAGGACATGCTGTGGCAGACATCATCGCAATGATCGAAATTCTCTCGGATCCTGCGAACCGCGCTCCGCTTGAGGTGGAGAGGGCGCTTGCAGAAGACTGGTATCGTCGGTCTCAGAGGGACAACGAGCCCGAGGTTAATGAGCGGCCCAGCGTTCCAGACACACCACAGCCACCTTTTGTCATGCCTAACGCCTATTGCTGGGGGTGGAGAGCGGAGCAAGCGCAACTATTGCCTGAGCTGCTGTGGCCTGATGATGGGCTGACCGAGTTCCCCTTTATAACAACGTGCCTTCTGCTGGGGCTGTTGCGCGACGATAGGGATGGCGATACCAATACAACTAACAGCAACAGCGTGCGCCCCGGCGACGTCCAGCTGCAGCCGCTATCCACTATATTTCGTGGCGACTGCAAGGAGTATGGCCTCGTCATTCTCGACATCTCTGACCTCGACAACGGCGTCAAGTACGGCATTGTTGCCTTTGACGTACACTATATGGCTGACGTTTTCTGCCACGGTCCTGATTTTGACTGGAATCCCAACATAGACCCCCCGCCTGAGAAGGAGCCTGATACTGTACTCCACAGCCTGCGACCTCGAGAGCCGTTGTCTATTGTTGAGTGGCTACGTGAGAACTACTTCTCCCGGGCAAAGGACCCGAGGATCTTAAGACTGAAAAAGATTTCCCTTGTTCATCGTAGTGTCTTAAACTGTACGTCTGTTCCCACGTATCTATCTGAGGGGTCACGATGATGCGCATATGCTGACTTGGGAATGATAGACATTTGGCCGCGGGAGCTTGAAAATCAAGCTAAAAAATCTCCGCAAGGTGTCATCTCAAGCATCTCCGACTGTCTGTGAATTACTCGCGCTTTTCCATCCTCACGCGTAACTGGTGTATTTGCTGACTTATGAGACAGACTTCTGGCCCCCAAAGCCCACTACCCGCGCCAAATATATATCCCCACCAGGCCCGGGCTGGACCATCTCGGACGAGCCGCCGGGAAGGAGCACAGGGACCAGGCCATCGATAATCTGCTCATTCTTACACAGGATCCCGCCGACCTCCACCTCGACCAAAATACAATCGAGAACTTCCAAAAACTCGCCGAGTTCCGCGAGCAGGTGCGGAAGCGGCTCGAAGACGTCCCTGACAGCCTAGGCCCGTCCAAGCTTTCGAGCCATATTCTGCGTGTTGCGTACGCCGGGCGCATGCATCTCAACTGGGTCGCATTTAGGAACCTCTCACCCAGCGTGATCGCTGCCGCCGTTGCATCCAACGAGCTTCGGGGCGCATCTGCGCTAAGCCTCTGCGTCGATAACTTCAAGCTGGAGGGGGACGAAGGAGGGCTCAGCGATCTAGAAGCGGCCCTGTCGCAGTCCACGGGCCTCAAACAGCTATGTTTCTTGCAAGGACCGGACAGGGACAGCGACAATGCCTCCGCTCATTTCTGGACGCAGCTGCAGCAGCGGTGGAGGTCATCAGGAGACTTGGGGTGGCTCCGCGACAAAACTATCTATCTGACTTGCGCCTTTTCGTCATCATTGTACAGCTCTAAATTATCATCGCCTTTGCCGACTACTGTTAGCTTGACTTCCCCCGTCGTCCAAGCCTTTCCCGTGATGCACATGTTCACGTTTGTCGATGACGCAGACCCCCGCTTCCAAAAACACCAGAACAGTTCCAGTTCAAGTTACTACGACGATATGAGCAACACCCTTCTAATCACCGAGCGCTCTGCCTTCCGTTTATCTATCATACCTCCGTTCCGTGGGTTTGGGCTCCGACAAGGCTGTCTTGCGATTCGCCTACGAGGAGGCCTCCTCGTCACCCACCACTACCACCACCACCACCGACGACGACGACAATTCACCGCCGCAATCGTCATTCTCAGGACGGTTCGCTGTAAGTCCCATTCCCGCCGGTCACTTTGCCCCTCCTCCCGAAATAAATGATCAGTCAAGGATCCGAGTCGGAGATTTAGACCCCGGCAGTTGGGTGATTCTTGTGGACCAACGAAGCCGCAACTTAAGCGACGGCGACGGCAGCCTCCTACGATACGCTTTTATCAGAATCGGTCGAACTTCTTCCGAGACTGCATCGGAGAAACAACAACACAGACCCTCCTCCGTCCTCCTTGAGGTGATAGGCGGGCTAACGGAGTTCTTGCGCGGGGCTGTGCCAGGGATCAATCTTTTTATGTGGGAGAAACGGGTCGAGGAGGTAGAGAAGAACCTCCGCGCGCGGACATTAACAGAAACGGGCAAACGCTGCATGGGCATCGGCGTTATGGATGAGAGCAGTACTCTGACATTACTTGACCAGATACGCGACACCCGGATGCTTACGGCGCAGGGGTCGGTTAGATAGCTTGACCCGGTAGCAATTCAGAGATATTGTGAACTACTAGCCTGCCTGCTCGCCTGCCTGCCATCAGCTCTACCACCCCGCCAGCCCGCACCTTGACAGAATACACAAGTAGCCGCTCGCTTGTGGAATACGTTATGAGCTCTATAAGCCTAACTCAGAGGCAACCACGATGGCCTGGCCGCTTGGCCGTAAAATCGAGTAGCATTGACCCTTTGGCTTAGCCGCCAGGAAAAAGCCACAAAAATACACTACCAAGAAGCTCTCGCCCTCGAGCAGACCAGTTCTGTGTTTACAACAAGGGTCCCGATGGAAAAGCTCCGGCTTTTATTATTGAGTATAAAGCGCCTCATAAACTTTCTCTCGCTCATATTAAGGCCGGGCTCCAACCTATGGATCTTGACGAGGTACTCCGCTTGCAAAAAGAAGAAACGCCTGAATCCACCTGTCGTCGAACAATTGCCGCAGTGATTACACAAGCATTTTCTTACATGATTCACGGGGGGCTAGAATATGGCTATGTGTGTACCAGTGAAGCATTTATATTTCTCCGTGTGCTTGATAACGACGCTTCTACCATACACTATTATCTTTCAGTGCCAGAAGAGGATTTTGGGCCAACAACAGGATGGACAGGGCGTCCAAACAGTGACAACCGACTCCACCTGACTGCGCTGGGCCAGGTATTAGCGTTCACTCTTCGCGCTCTGCGGGTTCCAACTCGGGATCTCGCTTGGACGACCTGGGCAGCACGCGGCTTAGACACCTGGGTTATGGTATACGACGACCTGCTGGACGAAATATCAGAGAAAGATATCCCTTCTTCGGATTTCAAGCCACCGACACGGAGTAGGAACGAATATTGTCGAGCAACCCCTGTAAAAACCCGGTCAAAATCTACTGCTATTGCATCATGTAACTCTTTGCAAAATCCGAGGCCGCCTGATGATGACGCTGGAGATGGCTTTAATCCAGATACGCCTAGTCGACGGCCCCGAGAACTCTCCTTTCCTAACCCTTCGTCATCCTCATCAGGGACAGGTGAGGCGTCACAGCGTTTTCACTCGAAAGGCAAGTCTCGACAGTACTGCACACAACTGTGTCTCTTGGTCCTGGTCAAGGGAGGGGAATTCGATCGAACTTGTCCTAATGTGTTGGACCACGGAACCGGTCGACACGAACTAAATCGAATAACCCTCATCCATCGACTGAGCCGGCAGCTATCCAACAATAGTCTCCATCGTGATTCGCAGCTGGGATGCGAATCGCTGCACATTCATGGGACCCGTGGAGCTCTCTTTAAAATCACTTTGTGGTCTCACGGATACGTTTTTGTTGGCAAAGGTGTGCCCGCCGAGTTTGTAAAGGGCTCGAAGCACGAGAAGCTCATCTATTCACGTCTTTCTCCAATTCAAGGGACATCAGTGCCTGTTCTACTTGGCAGCCTACGACTTAGTCGTCCCTTCTCTTATGACGGCATAGCGGAAATTGTTCATTTAACACTGATGGGCTACGCCGGAGGGACTCTTGCAAGCCAGCAGGGTCTCGATCGTTGTGGGATTGTTAGTCAGGCTGAGAAATCCTTGCAGGCAATTCACAATCTAGGTGTACTCCACAGTGATCCGATACCCGGAAACATGGTTTGGAACCAGAAGTTGGGTCAGGTGATGTTCATTGATTTTGAGCGGGCATCGCTGCAAACCCGGCGTGTACCACTCGATCTCACCAATTGATCCAAAAAATCGACTCTAAGCACCGCGCTTAGATTAGATTTACAAGAGCCCTTTCGAATACTCATATCTATTTCTCATTCCGGGCACCGTGCCCGGGATCAGGGACGTCCGCCCACGGCCAGCCTCACCTAACCCGACCGCTACGGGCCACGTGTCGCCGCAATGGCAACACTCAACTCCCAACCTAGCGGGCCTCTACAGGCTGCTCTACTAGAGACAACTACTGCAGCTTCCACTAGGGCTACCGAGGGCCAGAAAATATTCAACCCGATAGCAGCCTTTCTTGACAAACACCGGAGCCTGCCAGGCCTTGCGCCTCACCAGCGAAATGCGCTTGACGCGCTCAGCAAGGACCTAGCCGATATAGCCCATCGCCACTTCAATGCCTATATCAGCGGTATTCCTTTGACCTTGACTGCAACCTCCCCTGCCCCTGCCTTTGCCCCTGTCCCTGCCTTTGCCCCTGCCCCTGCTTCTCTTCCCCCCTCTCCCCCTCCATCTCGCCCCCCCTCCGGACTTGCTCAGTCAACGTACGCAACAGTCACTCAATCAACTACTGCCAAAGGCCCTACTACACCTCAGCCTAGGGCCAAGCAAAAGACCACAAGCTCTGCCCTTAACCAGCAGCCCGATTCCCGCCTCTTTGTACGCCTTCCGCCGAACCACCTTGCCAAAAATATGGACGCATACGCTATTTACACTAGCCTCCGGTCCCATCTAGGTGCCAATAACAAGGTCCTCAAGGGTGTTCAGTCTATTAAGACAGGATTCGCTCTCCTGCCTTCATCTCCCGAAACCCTGGCAGCTCTAGAGGCACAGAAAGAGGCTATCTCCACCTTCTTTACTACTTGCCAGATCGAGCGAAGCTCTCGCTGGATCTCGTACCGGGTAACAAACATACCAAGAAAGGTCGGCCAGCTCAATGCAAGCCAATACTCTATGGTCCCTGTTAATCCAGAGACACTATCAGCTGAAGTAGCTGAGGCCACTAGCCTTACTCCAGTTGCAGTAACCGAAACTGCTGCAAGCGCCTCTAATACAGATACAATCTCTTCAAGCTGGTTTATCAACTTCCCTGAAGAAAGCAAAGCTAAACTACCAGTACGACTACCTTTATTTGGCATGATTACCAACGCTCAACCTTTATTCAGAAGGGATAAGACTATACAATGCAACTGCTGCTGGAAATGGCATAACTCTAGATCTTGTGCACGTAATCCCCGCTGCCGCCTCTGCGGCTCTACACAACGCACTGAAGAAGGCCATACCAATATCTGCACTGCTGCAGCCCCTCATACCTGTCCCCCAAGATGCCTACACTGCCACGGCCCTCACCCAGCAGACTACAATCAATGCCTTCTGCGGCCCAGTAAACCAGGCTCTCGTTTTACAAAGGCCTAGCAGGCTGAGATCCGTAAAACCTGTTCCGCAACCCTCACTAAAGCTCGGACTGAGAGCAAATGTTGCTCCCGGCCTCCCGCAGGCCCTGAAGCTGGATCCCCTGGGGCCTCGCAAGACCAGAATATGTCTATTGACAGCTATCCGACAACCTCTCCATTCCGCCCAGTTACACCCCCACAACAAGGGCCGGGTGACTCTCCTCCAGTTACAGCGAGAGCAGTACGTTTTGCCACACCACAACTACAAAATCAGTTTGAAGTTCTAGCGAATGAAAGACTATGAGAGCCCGAAATTGCCAGCCAGATTCTCTCTCAATACTTCAGCTAAATGTCGGCCGCGACGCCGCAGCTCACGAAATCATCTTATCTCAGGCTTTTTCCAACAATATCGACATTATCTTGATACAGGAACCTTATATATATAAGGATCTCGCCCGCAAGATTACCAAACGACACCCTTCATACGAATGCTTCTCTCCAACTGACAGTTGGGTAAGAAACGGCCGACCTAAAGTTCTAACCTATATCCGAAAGGAAAAGGGTATACAGTCCTCTCAGCTCCGCCCCGATACAATCGATCAAGAAGTACTATCAGACCTCCTCTTTCTTCAAATCTCTGCATGCCCAGGGCAATCCACCCTAATCGTCAATATCTATAACGCTCCCACTCCTGGACTTTCGATCAGGCCTGGTAGAGCTGTCCAGGAGCTTATGAAGCTTCCTGACTCCCACTTTACTCAACCAATCTTACTAGCAGGGGACTTCAATCTACCACACAATAGATGGCAACCTTCGCTTCGGCGGAGCCCCTCTACTTCAGCTGAGCAGGTATCCGAATGGCTCGACAGATCTGGACTAGTATTTATCTCTGAGATAGATACCCCTACACATGACAAAGGGAATACTCTCGATCTAACTTTTGCATCTAGTTCTCTCGCTCTCGCTGGAACAAATACTAGGATTGCAAGCCATCTGGATGCTACATCTGATCACCGCCCTCTTCTCACTATCCTCCCCTTGGGCCTGCGACACCCTAAAGCCTAAAAAAGGCTTAAATCTAGCACTCTAGACCTTTCCCGCTTTAGCAGCCTCTTAGCCCTGAACATCAGCAATCTCCCAATTACCGCAGAAACAGAAGAAGAGCTAGACTGCCTCGCAAATATGATTATTTCAGCCGTCTACAGTGCGTACGAAGCCTCAGCACTCAGATCACGACCCCAGGGGGGAGGCCAACCTTGGTGGAATCTAGAATGCAAAGAAGCACTCCAGAAATACCGCATAGGGTTATCTACACGAAAGGACTTTCGACGGGTAGTTCGCCGCGCCCAACAGGAATACTGGAGAAACAAAATCAATGCAACTACCACAAGCAAAGAAGTATTCGAGATGTCCAAGTGGCATAAGACAACTGGATCCTACCGGAGCCCGCCAATGAAGGACCCCCTGCAACCTGACTGCCCCCCAGCAGTTGATATACAGGAAAAACGTGATATCTTAGCTCGAAA